CAGCGGGTCTCCACGTCACGCAGAGCAGYGTTTGGTGTCACGATGTGAGTCCTCGTGGGCACAGGAGCGTTCCCAGGGCAGTGACAGCTCCTAGAAATGCACCAAGTCAGGTTTTAAATCGACCTCGCGTAGAGCTTTACCRAGAGCTTACGTAAACACGTGAAAATCAGCATGATGTAATATTAAAATTGGAAAGTTGGATCGAAATGGTATCCTGGAGTAAATATAAAGGGGGTAGTATGAAAATTTGGCACAGAAGAGGCGTTATCCATGTAACGATCCTACTTCTGCTGGCAAAACGATGCCAGTAAAGCATTACAGCATGTGTTGGCACGGGGCAAAACGTGTCTTAAAAACAAATTGCCATCCCGCCAGCAAGTAATTGGGCTCGTGTAATTAAGGCCCCGCTCCTAAGGCGCATTTAAGGTGGCTGAAGTCAGTGTGTGCCTCCCAACCATGCGGGCCCGGCGTGTTGCAGTGGGATCCCACCAGCGCCGGCAGGATCGGGAGCTGCTGCAGGGAGGTGTCCTGCGGCACAGGGGGATGAGGAGATGGGATCTGTCTTCTCCCATAAAGGGAGAAGAGAGGCCGAGGAGCCCCACGACAGACCCCATCTCCCCTTTACAGACCCCTTATCGGGAGAAGAGGTTGCACGGCCTGTTGTCTCCCAGACATCCAGCGGTGATCATTAGTCACAGCTGCCTCSGAGGTGAAAAGTTCCTTGCGAGTGCTAAGCTTAAAAGCATTCCTTCATCAAAAATGCATTAAGGTTAAAAAAAAAAAATAAAAGGAAGAAAAGAAAAGTTGTAAAGTCCTGCATGCTGSATCTTTGCAGTTGAGTTAGCTGCTGCTGTTTCCCTGTGGGAAGAGTGGATATACCTGGAGTTTCTCGGGACGTCGCGTGAGGTGACGTGGGCAGCTTTTGCCTTCCGTGCTGTGGCCTTTGGGTTGGTCCTGTTTGGAGCTACTTTTCTTTCATGCCCCACATCAGAGGGAAGTGGGGTGCTCCATCCTTTCCCGCGCTGCCTCGCCGGCCCCATGGATACTTAGGCCCCATTCCCACCCGCTCRCTGCCCCGGCCCCACGGCGGCTGTGCGGAGCCCGTCGGATGCTCCCTGCAGGGATGAACTGTCACACTGTGACTTCTGTGCCCTTCATACCTCAAGCTGCACATCAAGAGCTGCTCTTAAAGGCACTCCTGTGCACCGAGCTTGCCAGTGGTTTAAGTGGCTTCCCCATATCAGAATTAAAAGAATTAAAATGCTTGGGGTGTTATAGCTTGTTTCCTTGACAACAAATTCCCTCCTTTTCTCTCTTCTCTGGATTTTTCTCATTGTATGGATATGTTGCCAACGAACAAAGCCCTCAACCTCCTCAACTTTTTTTTTTTTTTCCATTAATGCTTCAGATAGTATGAGCATTAAGCTAAAATAGGACAGTAAACGGTCGTCAGCATTTCGATGACTGTGTTTTAAGCCTCGTGTCTTCTTGTGAAACTGGAAATTTCTCCACTGAGCAAGTCAATTTGGCTTTTGTTCAGTGGTATTAGAGAGAATTTTGCTAGCCCAAAAGARGTGGGCCTGATTACCAAGAGGGGGTTTGTGCAGTGGGTACCTGTGGTAGTTAAAGGGAAAACTGCTGAAATTCATTCTGACAATCGCAGCAGCAGCACTGAAGGAATCATTTGAATTATTCATTGTGCAGCAAGGAAACGTCCCGCTTGTCTTCTCTGTAGAAATGAAAGCCCAGCCTGATTTAAATATACTTTTAAGGGTTGGACTCTTATTTTTTCTTACTTTCTCTCTTGAAGTAATTTGTGCCATTTCAAGACTTTCGTAATCGCCTGTGAAGGCAGATTCTGAAAGAAAATTTTTCTGATTTTCTAAAATAAGAGAGAAGTGTATTTTGTAAATATGCTGCTTCTTGTGGAAGTTTAATGAAATTCAGCTTGCTTTCATAAATAATGCAACACTTGCATTTTATTAGGTGAAGCCTAGAGGAATTTCTACCTAATCAGATACATGACAAGAAGAGTATTGCCTGCAGACTGTTGCCATCATCAGTGGTGGTGGTAAGGAAAATGCAGCTCTGCGTGTGTCCACATGGAAAGTACACCTTCTTAAGAAAAGTTATAAAACAATATATACCTTTTAAGCACTTTTTTTTTCATCTCAGAATGTCTCAGCTTTTTGTAAAACAAGGTCTGGGTTCTGAATATTATTATTATTGTGGCAGAAGAGGACTCTAGGTTAGCCAGAGACATTATTTCCTGGTAATCTGTTCCTGACTTTTCCAAGAAGTAAATTCACAGAGGGAGAGGGAGCCTTTGCATCACAGAGCCTACAGTCTAGGTAAGCTAGGTAGCAATGGGGAACATTTTGGGTTTGATTCCAAGGGTTGTGAAGAACAACAGAAACCCCCTAGKAAGATGAAAAGTACGTGCACATGCTTCCGTTCATTAGAATTAGAAATAGTGACATACTGCAGCATGCAGCAGAAAGGATATAAAGGAATTTACAAATGGTATATCTGCAAATTTTGCAGGAATGCTTGGAGAGTTCTTTAGTAAACGTTGCTTTAATCAGCTATCTGTGGTCAGTTTTATGATGTTCTGTAAATCCGGCCAGGAGACTTTGTTCTACTGCGTTCTTATGCCCAGGAAGCTGCTAACAACTGCAGTGAGAGAAGGTGGATGGAAGAAGGCCATTCATCCTCGTCCAGATCACATTAAGCAATAAAAGGGACCAAAGCCCATTCCCTGACTTGGCCAGCAGTCATTCACATGGCCCTTCCTCTACAGCTGTAGGAAAGTAATATTCCAAATAAGATCATAAGGAACTGAAGCCCAGCTCAAAAGCCCAATGCCACTGTCTTATCTCAGCGTTCAGGATTCTCTCTTAAYGTGTGCTTGGGTGTATAAAACTGCAAATGTTGTAAATTCTTCAGGCCAGATGCTAAGCTGGTTTAAGCTGACAATTTGTGCTAGCTGAGGTTCTGGTTTCTTGCTTACATTTCTTGGAAAGGGCAATGAGATATAATAAGTAAATCTAAAACACAGGGATACATCGGAGATGTGTTTTTATCCTGTGATTTCTTGTCAAGAGGTTTTAGCACTGAGCTCAGTACTGTATTTATGGAGCTGCTTGGTTAGAACTGTGCACTGGAAAAGTGAAATCAGTTCTCTCTTTTGATCTTAATTGAGTTTTCATTCCTCTCCCAAACAGTTCAAGCAAATCCCCTGTGCCTAAAATGTCATGGGAGAACTAGGAGCCAAGAGGAGAATAAATTTCTGAAAGTTTGAGAGCAAAAATATCAGGTTCAGGGCTGTAAAATGTTAATCTGTTTTTGACTTTCTCAAGAATTATCTGAAATACTTCTGCCCATTCGTAACTCAGACTACTTTGTTCCATATTATTAGATCTTTTTGTTATATATAACTACTGTCAAAAGTAATACATGGCTTCTGTCATAGCCAAAAGAAAAAAGAGGTTCAAAAATATAATTCCCAAATCCTTTAAATTTTGTAAATTTGCACAGAAGAAATACCAGAAAGGCTGAGCCCTCAGTTACTTGCCCTAAGATTGATAGAATCTTCTACAGTCAAGWTCCTGGCCAAGATACTGATACATCCCACTCAGCAAAGACGAAGCAAACTTTGTGCTTTCCCTTGCTCTTCCTATGGGAAGGCCTCGCCAGGCCTCGCTGAGCAACCTTAGGGATGAAACGTGTGGCTGTCTCAGTGCTGGTGTCGCTTTGGAGAGCGCTGAAGATGCAGGTGTGGTGCATGAATGTGCCGCTGTTGGAGAGCCCAAGTCCTCCAGACACCAGCGTGTACAGGCAAACTGCCCTGAGTGCTGCAGCAGAAGGGGTATCCCTGCAGATGGGCTGTTAGCTCTGCGTGGGGGGTGTTGACATTGTAGTGCTTGCTTGTAAGTTATCTTTAGTTACTGTGCATAGTGGTCATTATGTTTATCCTTCGTTAAAATAGGCTACATTTAAAATAAAAGAATGTTGCCACATCCTTTGAACATCCATTTTTGGCTTTGCAGTGCTTGTCGTCTAGACTTGGTGTGGGTCAGAAAAAGAATTTTGGGACTCCTTCCTTGTTTAATTTTAAAAACATCCAAAGTTCATTATCAGAGCATGTCCCCTTCTCCCAGGGGATGGGCACATTCCCATCCTCACCCCAAATCAGACYCCTGCCAGAATCACTTGTGTGCTGTGGAGCCATAATGCGACTGAGGCCAATGTTGCAGTGATGTTTAAAATAATGAATTATTCATGGTACTTAAGTACAGAAGATCCCAGGGCTGAATTGACATAATGAAAAACTACAGGTAAAACCCCCATGGGAAGACTTAGATTAAGAGCAGTCTCAAACTTGAGAGTCAGACTGAACTGTAGAGCCTTAATCTCTTCTGCTCACATTAATTGCCTCTCCTCAAGCCATACCTTGGACTGTCATAGCCAGTTACTTTGAACATCATTATCCCTATCAATTCCCAATGATTTATAAAGCTATTATTGATATTTTACTAACAGGGACCTAAAGCAGAAAAGTCAAATGATTTGTTGTGGTCTAAAGAGAAAATCGGCAGGGGCAGCAGGATTTGAGGCTGGATCTTCTCAAGCTGAAGCCTTGAGAAGATCTCAAGAGAAGATCTCAAGATCTCTCTAGAGATCTTTAGAAGATCTCTAGAACACTGCACAGTTTCATAACAGAACATATCTGCTTACATAGTCTCCCAACTTGACTGGGATTTCTTTGGCTGCTACAAAATGCTTATTTCCTTGTTGTCATGATGAACTTCAATTTAACCCTTTTATGATGCTAAACCTAACCCTGATGTCTTCCGTTTCTGGTGTTGTCTGGTGGAAAGCCTGGGGAAGAATGTCTTGCCCTTTACTGAGTGGAGAACTGCAGTGGTGGAGAGATGAGCGATTYGAGCTTTATTTGTCAGTTAGTGAGTGTCCATGACTTGATATTCCCATTTTTCCAGGCTGTATCCTCGCCATGCAAGTGCTCTCAACAACCTGGGGACATTGACCAAAGAYGTGGTGGAAGCAAAGGACTATTACAGACGGGCCCTGCAGTTAAACCCTCAGCATAACCGCGCACTCTTCAACCTCGGCAACCTGCTCAAGTAAGCTGAACACAGAATCCATGTTCTCTCTGTGGAGATCACCAAAAAAGGGTTTTTTACCAGGTGATCAGGAAACAATCTTACTGGCAGCCAAGACGGCCAGCGCTGAAACAAGGCTTAGTCTGGACAGTCATCATCTGTCTGCMAGCTCATTTCAGGTGCTGTTTGCCATTGTGCTTTAACTTAAGGCAGGTCATGTGCTCCAAAATAGACATCAAAAACTGAGATACTTCAAACAGGCCACTTGAGATTTCCCCCCTCAGTGGGAAGTTTTGGAGCGGAGCGACTCACATCATTCAAAGAGAGTGAGCTGTTGCAGACCTAATGAATAAGGAACTTCTCTCTTCATGTTCCCATTTCTCACCATTAGCTGGAAATGGAAGGTCAGATGGGTAGTTGAGGTGTGAACACCTACATCTGAGATGCTCAGAGCAGGATGTGGTTTATCCCTGTGGAAGGGGGGATGATGTGGACTTGAGGGAAAGGTAGACTTACATCCCTACATTGGTACACTACCGWGTTCGAACATGAATTAATCAGCTCAGAGTTTGACTCATCATTATTTATATTGCCAGTGTGTAACAAGGAGAATATTAGGCAATCATAATCATGCAAATTAATTTCAGTAACTATTTCTGAAGACAGATATATGTAACAATCTTTGTCATATGATCTAGAGATTCAATTAAAAAAAAAAACACATTTTTATTCCTGCACTAGTCTTCTGCACTAACAAAAGTAAAAACAACCCCTGTTTTAATCCAGACATCTTATTGTGCTAGCAGAAAATGCAGACTGCAGCAGTAAAAGTACATTTTTGCTGATATAAACTGCACCTACCTTTTAGGGGAATGTTGCTTGTAATGGTTCTTTAGTAAATCTTTCATGGCAGATCGTTTTTTAATGTAGGGCTGATTCTAACATGACACGGTCTCATCAAAATATACTTGATCTCTCTAGTTCTCAAAAGTCACTTTCATTGTGAGTTTATATGAAGGACATTAAGCAGTTTGCTGAAGTTCTGCCTAGCCTGTTGGCTAACGTGTAACGTTACAAGTAATTTTGATTGTCTTGGGTTAAAATATGGCAGAGGAGTAACCCTTAAATAAAAAATAGGCTAATGCTTTACTGGAAATACTCACAGAAAAGCTAAAATGGTAAAGACAGACTTATTACAAGAAGGATGGAATGTGTTTGTATTATTCATCAGGTTGGATTGTCTGAAATTAATCTTAGGAGGCAAGCAGTTTAAACATACATATTGTCATTTTAATCCATCACATTTGCCTTAGCTTTGTTCTCTGTGATTTTTTTCCTTTTTTCTTTTTTTTGGTACAACATATTAATACTAGGGACAGACTCCAGAAGGATCAGCAGGACATCCTATGCTGGTAACGCTTACATCTGGTCTGCTGGTGAGCTCTTGCAACCCAGCAGATGGGCAGATTTGTTGAGCCTGCAAAGCGCACCAGAAACATCTGGGAAAAGCTCTTAGAGCTGCTGTTTATATTGTGTGCAAAATATCATGCTTTTCCTAAGGTGATATTTAAGGTACTGAGTGTCCCTTCAGATTGTATACACCCTTCATCCTTCTGTAATGCCGTGTAGTGCTGTATGTTAAAGGTGTGTGATGCTCATTTCTGCTGCGCTCTTAAACCAATGCACTCAGGTTTCACCCCCAGTTTTTTCTGCACCCACTGGATATATTTTTTCCATCGTTTTTAGGCTTCAAAAGCAACCTATTGCATCTGGACACACTAATAGTATTAATTGTAATGGAAACCAGGTGTCTCCTTCTCCCTCCTGTAGAGAAAAGAACTTCAAACCCTCACAGGATACTCGGTGGAGGCATCAGCACAGCCGGACACCAAATGCTGCACGGTCGCATCCTGCGGGAATGTCTCCCCTGGAGCGCCAGCCCTTCACTCACATCTGATTTCCTGCACGTTTCCTGCATCAGAAGGCAAATTCACAGGGATCGTGACTCCAAGAGGACTAAATGGAAACTAGGGAGGGATTCCAAACTCGCCCTTCCTGTGACTTTGTGTCCATTTTCTACCTAGCTCTCCCAGTTGCCTTTTTATTCAGCCTGTGATCCCCTGGAAAGAGGGACCAGCTCCGTGCTGTGTATATAGGGCAGCTGGTGTTCTGCAGACCCTAAATGCATATAAGTTAAGAAATAAGAAAAGTATGCAGAATATTACAAGCTGATATTACTTTCTGGCTGTGCTGTGAGACACTGTGGAGGGTGTTTCARTTTTTTAAAATATGGCCTAGAAAGGATAAGAGGTCAAGGTCTAAAAAGCATTTTCTGTCCTCTTTACAGCTGTTTCAGTGTCTATACATGGAATAGATTGGGAGAGCCAGCTCCGCAATACTTACGTGCAATGCATGTGCATGTGCAATGTGCATGTGCAATAACAACATAACTTATGTGAGGACATGTAATGAAACTACCTGGAATGGGGAATTCAGAGGCTTATTTTGTAGAATTCCGTATCTGTTTCAGTTTTTAGTGTGAAAATTTGATTGCAAATATTAAATTTCACTACCTATGAGACTTGAGAAAGGGAAACTCTGGGATTTTGGAAGGATGGACTTGCGCTTCCCGTGTGGGAATCTGCCTCTCATTATTCCCTGGAAATAGGCTGTCTTTTCAAGCAGCTGTTCCTTGTGATTTAAGCTTGCATTAAAAGTATTTTGGAAAGCTTAGGGTAGAATCTCTATTTTTTTTTTTTTTTGTCGTGTTTTATTTTGTTTTGTTTTCTTGTGGAAGACCTAGATGAAAAAAATGTTTCCATTTTCTGTTTGCACATAATGAAAACAACTAGGTGCCAGAAGATGGATGTTGTCAGGAAGCACTGCATGATAACGATAAAATAAGCCCCTGATTTTGTTTACATATCGTAAGATAAAGCTCTATGTCATGATTACCTTGCCTTACATAAATATTGGGGAGTTTATAATTAAACAACATAGGCAGATTTCTTAGATAAAAAGACCCAAAAGAGTGGTCTATCTACAATGGAAGAATCACCTTCTTCCCTTTTTTAGTCCGTGATCATTGACACAAAGTAGCCTGATGCTGCTTTGTTTTGTTTTGTTTTTAAGCTTCATATCATGTAAACATTTAACTCACATATAAATTTGTTTTTGCCGAGATATAACAAGAGGAAAACTGAGATAAATATGGATGATTCAGAATACCTCACATAAATTTATAGCCTATGGGATACTCTGTAAGGAGACGAGATACAATCTTATGAACATTTGAAGTAGGTATTTAGGATCTCAGCTTGCTGTTGCAGAAAGAATGGAAGGAACTTATTCCTTGCTGTATTGTATCTATCCATATGCAAAATACTCTTAATATTCAGTACAGCACTTCTGACGAAGAAAAGCCTCATAACTCTCGCATGCATTGGGCATGTTAAGACCACATTTCTTCAAGGGAAAGGAGAATTTATTTTTGCCTAGAAAAAAATATTCTCTGACAGCTCGTGTTTAATCAAAGGACTTATTCTCTACTGAATGCAGAGCAAAACGCAAGGTGTTCAGTGCTTTTGTCAGCATGTTCTCATTCAAGTTCAGCAAGCTTGACCAGTCACGGGAAGCACTGCCTTGGTGGTGGGCCATCTTGGTGTTCCTGCACTGCTCTTCCTCCAGTATGTCCCTGTCTTTCCTGGAACAGGCAGCCCAGTGTGGGACACTTCTCCAGCTGCAGTCTCCCAAGTGTCGAGTAGAGGGGACATCACCTCCCTCGGCCAGCAGGCTGCTTTCTAGCCAGCCCCAGGCCTATTCCAGGTGTTTATCCCACCCCAGGCCTAGGACCTGCACTTGCTTTTGTAGAACTTCATGATTTTCCTTTGAGTCCATTTCTCCAGGCTGTGCTGGTCCTTCYGAATAGCAGCCCTGCCCTTCAGCAAATTGCTTCTCCAGCCACTTTGGTGTCATCCACATAGGGTAAATAAATGCCAAAGGAATTAAATAATATGAATTATATAATTGTTTTTAACAGAAGCCAAGCAGCTTTACTTCCAGATAGGTGTAGTTGCATGATAGGAAACCAGTAACAGATGATGAGAACAGTTGTGGAGCCTCTGCTGAGTTGTGTTCCTGGCTTACCTGCGGTGAGGACTAACTTGACCAAGTAAGGCAAATCATCTTGAGAGGTAAAAAGTGCCCAAGAGCACRACTTTCCAGGCTGCCCTTTCAGTGTGTCAGCCCCTGCACAACCCCTGTGTCTCACCAGTCCTCTAGTTGATGGCTCTCTGCCTGTGGGTCCCTTGCAAAACTAAGGAAGAGATGCTCCAGGTGGGAAGCGCCATTCCCTACACCCTGCTTGCACATACTAGCTGAGAGGAAGGCTGGGGACACGAGTGGCAGAGGCAATCAGGAGAGGACATGGTAAGGCAAAGTGATTYGGGGAAAAATACGGATTAAGTGATTGTAGACTCCTCTCAGGTACATTTGTTCCTCTCTCATAGTGAAGGTATCACCCAGCTTTGCCTGGTGATTTACTCAGGGTAAATCGGTGTGTCGGACTGTTCTCCCGGCGCTCTGTGTTCTCCCAGATTACATCAGATTTATACGGGCCGTGGCCTCGATCCTGCAAAGTGCTGAGTATGCTGGCCTTGCTCCAAGAAAGCACTTCAACCAGTAATTAATTTTCAACTTGCATGCATAAAATTTAAGTATGTGTTTAAGTGCTTGGCCAGAGTGCTCGGTATCTTGCAGGCTTGAGCCCTCTTAGAAAATGTTGGGTCTGCTTCTTTTAATATAATCCAGTCTGTCACATAAAAAAAAAAAAGATGCCATAATCTTTCGCTCTCTACCCCTACTTTCAGGAGACAAACGTTGTTCTTGTATCAAACAAACAAACAAAAAAGCCATTTAGAAAAGAAAAGAGCAATTAAGAGGGTTGCCCTGTGTTCAGAGCGCATACTTGCGGTTAATGGGAACTTTTAGTGCTGCTGAGTGGATCCCTTAATCCTTTTATTTTTGTAGCTGGCATTTCCTACATTTTTGCCAAACATCAGTGCCTTTTTAAAGCAGCCATCTGGTTTTGATTTGTAAAAATGTGTCATGAAACTCCAGCCAAAGGATCCAAAAGTTTTATAAATTGACAAGCTAGCTGGTCTTTAATTAGCGTGGAGGAAAAGTGGTTCTTTATTTGTTTTTGCTTCACATGTGTAATTTAGACTGAGCAGCAGTGACGAGGGAAAAGACTAGCACAACTGGTTTTACTTAGCTTAATGCACAGGCAAAATATCCTTCCAGTTATATAACTAGAAAAGGAAAAAATCTGCAAAGCCACATATATTATCAGCCGAAATTTGCGCCTTATAAACAAGATCTGGTTACCTGAGCCTGTTGTTCGGATGAAATCCAAGGCCAAAGCAGCAAGGTGTTCCCATATTTTCTGTGTGCCGGAGTCCCTTGTTGCCTTTTGCAAGCTCTGCTATTCATTTTTCTTTTTTTTTTTTTTGTATACCCAGCATGAGGAAAATGTTGTTCCTGTCAAAATAAGCATCCTCAGATTTTTGTCCATGTAGCTACTTTTTCCAAGGAAAGAAATACAGAGCAGTACTGGGGAAATTGTAGCTCCAATAATCATTCTTAGATGTTTGCTTGGGAAACCTTTTCCCAAGGCAAAAAAAAAAAAAACCCACCTGAGTAATTTGGGGAGAACTGTAGATCATTGTTGTAGTCATCCCTCATATATCTCTGTTCATAATCACCAAGATCTGAAGCACAGACTAAAGACGGAGATGTTTGGCRTTCCAGGCAGAGATCCCAGGCAGATTGAATCTACCAATAATTTTAATTTTAAAGTAGTAATTTTACTAAGACATAAGTCTTGATATATAACAGGACTTCTTCTCCAGCAACATGCTCTGCCATGTTTTCAGAAAATACTTTATACTTGGAGACCCTTTTGCTGGCTTGTCCTTCATATGTCCTAGACTCCTGACTGGATGGACGAGGCAGAATTCTTGCTCTTCAGTGTGTGGTTTTGGGAAATACACCATTTTGGGGGGTGTTTTGCCTTTGCTGGGATCATGGCCAATGTGACAGCCACCAGCAGCCCAGCCTGGGCAGCTCCCTTCTCCTCCTCTCGTGGCTGCCATCCAGACGAGAAATGGGGAGGCACTGCAGGGCGCCCATGTGCTGCTCTAGGGACTCTCAAAACTCGTGTGTGGAGAGTGCATGGGCCAGCATGTAAAATCCAGCATGCAGTGAGGGCCTGCAGCCGCTGTCTGCAGAGCCATATGCTCAAAGAAAGGCCAAGGGAAGTGCCTGGGCTCAGGAGATGCTGATTACTYGGATCATGGAGAGAAGATACGAGTTAATAATTTAGTCTTTGCTGAAAAGGACAAGACAGGACATTTTACATTCTTTAAAGTAGTTCGTCAGTGGGTGACAGTCTATTAAAAGAGCTTTTCTTTCTCCCTTCTTTTATTATTTAATTATTTCCCGTATTTTTTGGCACGCAGGTCCCAGGGCAAGAAGGAGGAGGCCATAATCCTGCTAAGGGACTCCATCAAATACGGCCCGGAGTTCGCCGACGCTTACTCGAGCCTGGCTTCCCTGCTGGCCGAGAAGGTAAYGGGAATGATCCCAAGCTCATGCTCCTTGACCATGATCCATGATCATGGACGCTCCAAGCGCCGTTCTCGGCCTTAGGAGCGCCCAGGGCTTGCACACAGACACTGAGTGCGGCCTAGGAAGACTTTCTGAGCTGCTTTAGAGCTGGCTTTTTCACTACAGGAGGCAACTCACTGAGTAATTAACACCCACCTTAGTGTGGCTTTGAAATGCTGTTAAAATTGTGAGTAAACAACCTTTTTGCAGCTCCGCACGTCTTCAGCAAAGGCTTGATCCTTTATTATGGTGTACTTGAAGTGTTTGACAGCAGAATATGTGGGTCCTCCTTCCCATTGCACACATAAATATCATGAAAAAATTAAAAATAATATACTCCAAGGTTAGGAAATACCTGAACTAAGGTTGGCTCTGCAGCCTGAGCTGAGCCCTTTGCATATGTGCGTTAGGATACAGCTCTTAATTACTCAGGTAGATGATCGCTTATTGAGAGTGGGAACATTTGCTTGCTGTATGTGGCTCCTAATGAGCAACTGTTCAATATTTTATTTAATCTCATTGTTCAATATGTGGCCCTAGGCCTTATTTGCTGCTCACCGGCCAGACTGTGCTCTGGAGGCAGGATTACTCATTTCTTCTTGGGCTTTTTCCCCCTGCTTATTATTCTGGTCCCTTAGTACCGTCTATACATTATGTAATTTATTTCTGCAGGTCCCTTGTGAGGTGAACTAGTGCTGTTCCCACTGAAGAACAGGGAAATGGAGACACAAAATGTTAGGGTTCAAGAGGAGCTGTGAAATCTGGGTGCATATTTGGAGACCGTCACTCTTTGGTCTTGCTAATCCTCCCATCTGGGGCTCAGGGAATATCACCTTCCACTAACCCACAGTCGGGTTAGCAGAATTAGCCAAAACCTCTCCCAAAAGGGAGTTGCTTGAACGTTGGCCAGATTATAAGCAAAGGTCTTGCTCTGGCTTATTCTGGCTTCTTTAATGACAGAGGCACTCCACAAAATCCACCTTTGATAAATATGGGTTACTGACAGGAGCTATGTTGTGCTGTTGTCTTTTAAGTGACTTTCCAGTATTATCAGATGTACAGCTGCAGAAATCTAGAAATACARTAGATGAATTGAAAGAAGAGCCTCGTTCAATGGGATCTGTGATTTGAATCAACCATTTAATGAAGTCCCCTGCAAGTATAGGAAATGAGCTCTCTGCAGTAATACATGGTTTTAATACTAATTGAAGTAATTAATTAAAGCCATCAGTCATAAGGTCAACAGAGCAATAAAAACATAATAGAGTCCCAAGGCCAGCTGCCCAAAGCAAATGTTGTGAGTTAGCCCAGCAATAATTCACCTACACTTAGGTGTAGTGTGTTCATCCCCTTGAGGCTTTGAATAAGTGGAAGGGGAAGAAAAGTTACAGTCCATAGAGTTTCCTCAGAAGTSAGTGATTCCTGCAGGCCTGTAGCAGTGCCCTGTGTTCAGCCCTAGCAGATCCCAGGGATCCTGCTCTTTGGTTTACAAAGCTGATTTTCCTTCTGCTTGTAGCCCCGAGCAGACTACTAGTTCCTTGGCCCGTGGGTGGGAGAGAGAAGGGACTGGAAGCTGCCCAAGTAGCTCCCATGAAGTGACCATGAATGTGACCAACTTCTGTTCCCCCAGTGTGGGGCTAGGGCTGGGGAGGGAGGAARCAGCTGGAGGAGACGCAGTGAAGTAGGGTCCTGCTTGCCTTGCTGGTCCTGCACTGCACTCCCCTGTAGTGTAAAGGCTCTGTATCTGCACGCCAGTGTGTGGTTCCTTTTCTTCTGTAGYTGGGAAAAATGCTGTTAGGAGGAATGCCTCATGCTGCGGGGGAATTAGCTTGTAACTCCGTGTAACTGCCCTGTTCTCCCCTTGGTAGTTGATTCTGAAACCAGAACAGATTTGGGGAAAAGGCCAGCACSCTGCATGGAGCAGTTTGCCTGTTGTAAGGCCTTGTCCTCCTCACTGCTTTTTCTCCGTGCTCTCATAACTCGGTCATGGTGTGTGCTTGGGTTCCGTGACAGGCTYTTGCCATCTTGGTGCTGCCTATATCGGAAATCAAACGTCTTTCTTTGCTAGTTTCATGCTCCTGTAACAACACTTGCTTCCCTTGGCCTTGCTCTGGCTTTCTTGAGAATATCTTCTTGCCCGCCTTGAAGTTTCACTAGCCACCTCAAGCTACTTGATGGCATTTTCAAGGTCTCTCATCTGGAGTCAAGGGTGTGTGTATATATATGTATATATTTGTATATATATTTGTATGTATGTGTGTATATATGTATATGCACACATGGATATATGTTTATTGTATATGATGTATATGGGAATATATATATATACACATATATACATATATATATATGTGTGTGTGTGTATATATACATATACATACGTGTGTGTGTGTGTGTGTATATATATATATATATACACATTTTTTTTTGGTAAGAATGTCAGCATACCCAAAGAAAAAGAATCCTAGCTTCAGAGGAGACCCTGCAGATGTGACTCAGACTTACCCACACTGAAAAACAGCCATATAAAAAGCAGACTTAAAAAAACTCGGAGTTCAGCTGAGGGAGCTTCAGATGCATAATTTTTTCTTTAAATCATAAAAATCTCATACATTTTTAAGGCAGYCTTCTGAGTTTTGTGAGCTTGATAAATGTTTCATGAAGGTCCGGAAGTGACATTATTAAGTGTTAATGAGAAGCAAGCCTTGGTTATCTTACTGCATTTCTCCTAAGGAGAGGGTAGGCTGCGAGGGAGAAACCTCTGGCACATCCTTCTTAATTTCTGACCGAATGCAATGGAAACACTTGGTTAGAGAAATCATTCCCGTCTGTGCTTTCAGGCTGCTGCATGCAAGGTCAGGATGTTAGATGCCAACACTAAAAAAGCGTTTTACAAATGGCATGTGCAGTGTGACAGTGATAAAAGCACACCTAATGCTATGTGGCAGTGAGCGTGAATGCTTTTACTTGGGATATTGCTAATCCAGTTGAGCGCTTCCTTGTTTTGAAGATAGGATTTAAGACCAGCAAATTAAATGCAGGCAACTCGCATGCAGGCATGCAAAGCCACGCACTGCAGCTGAAAACTAAACTTAGAGGAAAAGAAATCAATAGGGAGGTCTCTGAAAATACTCTGTTAGTGTCTTTCTGACACAGATATTTTCTGAGAGCTGCTCATCATCTTAGTCAGTTCGGATGATTACTACTTTTTTCCTGACCCCACAGACTAATGATGTTAAATCCATATAAATTTATCCAAAATGTCCAAATCTAAGTGCTGCTTAAAAATGTGTTTCTGTGTTYTATCACACGCTATCTTTTCTGCTGACTGACCTTTATCATATGAATGTGAAAGCATTTAGCTGTGTCAAACCATTTGCTTTCATCAAGTCGTAGTCTTCAAATACTATTAATTCCAGCGGTTCTGAAGTGGGATGTGAGAAAGGAACCCATGCATTTAAACAGCTACAAACAACATGCTGCTCTCAGGTGCACCTCTTAAATCCAGAGCGAGTCCAGTATGCTCAGAAATTTGCAGGTTTTGAGACAAGGAGAATTCAGAGCTGCGATAAACAGCAAAATCAGGTTGGTTTCCCACAGAGAATTAACAGAGTTGCCTGAGAAAAGTGGTTTTCAGGGCCTGCCCTGGCTGCTGGAAGTTGTCTTCGTCTCACCTGGTGTGTGGGGTCTTTGTAAAGGGTGTTGTGGCACGAAGCCCAGCTCCTTGGCAGGTCTGGGTGCAAGGCACAGCCACTCACTGGCAGCATTGGTGGGGCAGCGCGTTCATGGACATCTCTTTCCTTTCCCTGTGGATTCATCTCCCAGCCATGAGGTTTCTCTGGCTATCCCAAGCCCATCAGCAGAGCCCATGGACTTGTGTTGCCCAGGGCTTTGGGAAGCCATGGGGATTCTCCAGAGGCTCTCAGCACCTTCAAACCTCATGGAAATCCATGCAACGTGCAAAGATTCAGCACATCTGAAAACCAGGCCAMTGACATCCAGTCAGTCCCAGTGAGCTGCATCCCACATGGTGACAAAACCTGCTTTTAATCTGGATCTGCCTGATTTGCCCCGCTCCCTCTTTGCCGCTAATCCTCTACCTCCTTCCCCCTCATTCCCTGCACTAGCTCTCCCTATCCCCCAGCTGTCCCCGGGCTTTTGCTCCCCGTTTGTCCTTGTGGACACAAGCCACTGAAGCTCTTGAAAAGCAGCCTTTTTCCAGCTGTTCTTACTGCTTTGCAGGTGCATAAAAATGGTGAGGACTGCTGTGGGGCACCAGATAGCAGGTTCTGATCTTCTAATCGCATCCAGACAGAGGGTGAGATTGGGGCCTCCTCGAGGCCATGGCTGCTCCCCGCGAGGGCGGTGGCCCCTGTGAGCAGGATGGCAAGGGGCATTTCCACATGCACGGACGTGCAGCTGGTGCAGCTGGTGCTGGCCCTGTTTCTGCCACAGCTAAGACATCTCCTGCTGTTTTAAGGAACGCCTTGAAGAAGCTGAGGAGGTTTATAAGGCCGGCATAGAGAACTGCCCGGAGAGCTCCGACCTGCACAACAACTACGGCGTTTTCCTGGTTGATACTGGTAGGTGAGGGTGGAGCAAGGACTTTTCTCTCCCCCACTTGCTGGCTTTGGTTTGTTTTGTTTAGCACTACGTTCTTAGGAGATTGTCAAAAAATTCCAGAGCTGTGGATATGCTGCCACTGTAGCCTGGAAATAAACACCCGCGCTCTGCTGAGGTGGCATAGGGTGCTGAAATTTGCAGTCAGAGMAGTTGCTGGATGACAGCAGCATTCAGCCTCTCCCCTTCCTACCACGTTTCTCACCGTATTAGCACAGGCAGTTGCTGCCTTTGATTTGAGCCAGACGGCATCCCGACAACACTGCCGTTTCTCCAGGAGAGCGTGGCCACATCAAACGAAATCCCAGACCCACAAACGGGTCATTATGGTCTCCGGGCACTTGCTGCTCTRCTTGGGGACAAAGCAGCTCTTTGACTGCAAGGGCTGCGTGCCRCTGCTGGAAAACAAACACGGCCTTTAAACCAGAATCGTCCGTGAAAACAAAGCCTAAGATCCTGTGGGGTGAATTGATTTCTCAGGGGCTCCCTAATGAAATACAAAGCCTTTCTCTGCTGGGCTACTGATTCCCATCCAGCTTCCAAGGACTTCTTGGCATTCACATAATAATAATAATAAAAAAGAAAAATTAAAACACCCCGTAAGTGCCACTGTTAACGACAACTTTATAAGCAAGTCCAAGTTTGAATGGAGAAACTATTAGTAGAAACCAACTACTCCTTTGCCCACATCCCTCCAGAACAGAGGTGAGGGCCAATGCTGTTGCCACCACGTCTGCCCCTGCCACACAGTRCCAGGCTCTGGTGATGCTCGGGAAGGAGGGGCAGAGCCAAAGAGCAGGGGCCATCCTTCCTTGGGTGGTGGTCCTGCCTCCGAGCTGATGCTCAACCATCATTCTTCTGTGCTGTGAATGGGAAATAAAGAAGAAGCCAAAATGATGGTAATTGTGATAATAATTTAAAAAAGGAAACATGGTGTTAATGACAAATGAAGATTCTAAGTTTTTGTTGGGCCAAAATTCAAATTTATTAATAAMAGGTCAGTAATTCCACTCGGACACTGCTGCTTTCTGCTTCCCAACCCAGCTAAACTGCTGTATTCCAATCAAATTTATTTATTCTCCTGTAGTGCACTCCACTTTATTTTTGCACTTGTGTCTTCTGCCAAAGTAAAAACTACTTTTTAAATTATTTTTACCACATAACTGTACGTACAAATAGATGCTTCTTGTGCCTTCCTTAATGACCTGTGTTGCCCCCATGTGTTTAACAGCAGAGGCACTGGCTGATTTTAAGGACATAGGTGCATGCCCAGCTGCTTCCCAGCATGTTTTGTAGATCCAGTTTTCAAAAACATCTGTCTGCTCAGCAGCAGGAGCAGAGCGAGGTTGTTTTAAAAAGTCCCACCTTGAAAGATATGTTGTTGGCCTTTCAAATCCTAAATGCTTCTGAGTTTTCTTACAGACATCTCTGCTCTCCTTTAAAGGGAAGCCTGAGTACGTGTTAATGCTGCTTTTATGTTGTGTAGGTAATCTCAAGAAAAAAATCAAACGAAATCTGAAATGCTGCAGAAATAGAAATTCAGCAACATATGTTYGGTGTGCCAGCAAGTACCGAGCATTTTCAAGTTCTTTTTTTCCAGCTAAAGAATGCAATTAAATACACTAAATTTGATTTGACTTTAAAAATGCCAATACTCTAAGGTTTTGCTGGTGGACAAAGCTCTGTGAGTGTCAGTTTTCAACAGAAATATCTGGCCTAAAGTATGCAAACTAGTTAAATCAACATTGTGGCTAAAAAAATGCTGAAATGTCGGGACTTTAAACGGTGCCCTATTAAGGTATTTTGTAGGCTGTGCCTAAGGAAAGCTCTGTAATGTCCTTCAGGAGGACGTTATTATTTAGRTAAATAAAAATGCACTTTTATAAGTAGAACTTCAGGCCTCTGGCATAGGTGTTGGCACCTTCCTTCAATTCAGAATGGACGCTGGCATTTCCTAAAAATGCAAGGCACTGTTATCACAGGCTTCCGAGGTCTTTGGCAGGGCTGCATTTCGTTGTGGGTTCCGTGATMTCATGGGCTGTAGAACCTTGCACAGGGCCATGTTTTCTTGCAGTGGAGCAGTGCCACCCAATGGCTCCTCTGAAACATGGAGACGTTGCCTGTAGGCTCCCAAGTAGGCATCCTAGGCTGCCCTGGATTTATTGCAGCAAAGTGGGAATTAGCTGGTTTCTGTCACTCACTTCCCAGCATAGAGCAGGAGCTGAAAGAAACCAAAGCACCACTGCCTGCTGGAGCTGTGAGATGATTTTATTGAGGCACCAGCTTAACAGCTCTTCTCGTGTCCAGGCGCTCCAGAGAGGGCCGTGTCCCACTACAGACACGCCATCCGCCAGAGCCCAAACCACCACGTGGCCATGGTGAACCTGGGCAGGCTTTACCGCTCCYTGGGGCAGAACAGAGAGGCTGAAACCTGGTACAAAAGGTAAGAGCTTGAGCTGCGGGACTCGTGRTTCCCTTGCCCCCCACGTATGGGCTTGTCCTTGTTCAAAGGCTTCATTAGAAAGTTCGGTGATATTTCGGTCTGCCAATGTGGCCTTGGTGTTTTTTTTCTCCCTGTCTCCATCCATTTGGAATCAGGTTTGCTTAGTTGGCTGTTTAATGGGAATGCCCTCTACTCTTTCGTTTTGATCCCCAAATGACCTGGAAATAACTCTTTTCTTTTTCACCAATATTCAGGGCATTGAAGGTATCCCGGAAAGCTGAAATCCTGTCCCCGCTTGGGGCTCTGTACTACAACACTGGGAGGTATGAGGAAGCTTTGCAGGTTTATAGGGAAGCCGTGTCACTGCAGCCTTCAAACAAGGAGATTCGGCTGGCGCTGGTGAGTGCAGGACTGGCGTGGCTGGGGCAGGGCCATGGGATACTAGTGCTATGGAAAAGGGTGATGTCCAATGGATGGCCAATGGTAGCAGGAAAATTACCCCAGGCTGAAGCTCTGCAGACACCAGACAGAGCATGTATCCGTACGGGCCAAACGTCTCTTTCTGTTTCCTCCTCACACCCTCCTGAGCTCAGATCCTATGTCTCAGCCAGCACATTTCCAGCTGAGCGAGACCTGTCACGAATCAAATCTGACCTGCCTTGCTCACTAGGAAGGGTTACAGCTGGGCTTTCTGTGTTTCCTTGGTGAGCAGTTGTCTCAGAACTGCTATCCCCCTGCCTTTCCACAAAGCAGGAGGCCAGGGCTGCTCCCTGGGTACAACATGGTGTATTCAAGGGGCCTGAGTCTTTAAAAATTATAACTTTTCATSATGTGGCTCTCTAGGCCCAGGTTTTAGCAATGATGGGACGGACAAAGGAAGCTGAAAAGATGACGAACCACATACTCCATGAAGATGCAGAGTGTTTGGAGTGCTACCGCCTTCTGTCAGCAATCTACAGCAAGCAGGAGCACTATGCTAAGGTACAGAGCTCGCTGTGTTGCTGTCCCAAGGGCTCACATGCAGAGCTCAAGCTGAATTTTCCACTCTGCCTCTCCAGAGACTCATTTGTGAGTGCCTTAGCACACATGMAGTGGGCTTCGTTTTTTACTAACTCCTTTTGTTTATCGGGATAATGAGACTAAAGYTAGGAAGTGTGATTTTCAAAGGTTGTGAGCTTTTACTGCTCTTACTGCTGTCAGCCCCACAGCACCTCAGCCAAAAGCATCTAAAACTCTCATTTCCAAGTGTGATAATAGTGCAGAGCAAATGAGAGAATGGAGAGATGACTTGTGGTTACTTGGGCTTCTGTACTGGGAGATACTCGTTGAGCATGAGAAGGAGAAAGGGGTAGTATACAGTAATACAAATCCTTTTGCTTTTTCACAGGCACTTGAAATTATAGATAAAGCTCTTCAGCTAAAACCAAAGGATCCAAAAGTCATATCAGAGCTCTTCTTCACTAAAGGAAACCAGCTAAGAGAACAGAATCTTCTTGACAAGGCTTTTGAGGTATGAGTGCTCTAAGTGCAATGGATTTACAGGTTAAAGAACGGAGTTAACTATTTGCAGCTARTTCTCTGTGCTGCATGTGCCATGAGTATTGACTTCAGGAGCTTATCAGTTCACGAAAGGTACAGCTAAAGCCATGGAGCAGTGATGGCTTTGCCATAGTTAGTTACAAGTTGCCTTTCTTACCAATATATGGAAATATATAGTTGCCTTTCTCACCAATATATGGAAATACAACACCCTGTCTTGAAAAGTTAGCTACAGAGTCAAGGTGAGACCATGGAGAAGCCCACGCCATGTCATACTGACTGAAGTCTTGGTCCATCCATCCATCCTCATCCCTTCTTGCTAACCATGACCGACTCCGTGTGRCTCCATAGACATGTCTAATACTGGCTTGAATCCTCTTCTGTTGGGATAGCATAGAAATGGTGCTATTTGACGGAGTCCAGGAGGTTCTTGTTGCTTCTTCTCCTATATAGACAGAAGCAATGGGGAGGAATTGCACAGCCCTCAGATTCTTGTGGAACATCCATTGTGGTGGCTGTACAACAGATCTGCAGCTGGCTCCAAATTAAAGCCTTGTAAATAAGGAGCATCCCAACCCACCCACTGCTTGCAGGATGCAGGCACTTGTTAGTGGGAATGTCCTTGACGTGCAGAACACCCCGGCGTGCCCAGAGGCTTGCAAATGTGATGTAGTTCCTCAAATGATGCAGTGGGCATGGCAAAGCTACTGAGATGAACTCAGTAGGGAAAAGGTACAATGGGTCATCTCTACTGAAAAAGACTGAATTTCAACATGTATAAAGAATTGAAAYTGTATTTTAAATGGCTGCAGAGATCTCCTCTTTTAACTGTTTTTGACCAAAGATTCAGACTTCTAACCTAAAAAAAAAWAATAATGTTTTTTCAGAGCTATAAACAAGCTGTGGAGTTCAACTCAGACCAAGCACAAGCCTGGATGAACATGGGAGGCATTGAACATATCAAGGTTTGAAAATTTTGCTTTTTCTTAAGCTGTCAACTGCAAGGACAGAAAGYTAAACTTGCCTTAGACTGCCAAGAGCTACATATTTGTGGACAGTAAGAGACCATAACATATTTGTCCAAGTCTTTGGACTTATTTGGTCTGATTTGTCCRAAGAGGAAGAAAACCTATTTCAGCCCTAGTTAGAATTTCCCTACTAGGTTGCTTGGGAATGTATAATCTGTAATTTAAATCCACATTTTAAAGAGGACAAKCAGCCTGTCCACTTTAAAAGTCTTCTGGCTTGAATTGTTGACCTGCCTTAGAGAAATGTCCTCATGAGTGAAATTTTAAGATTCCTCTCTACCTAGCTCACTAAATGAAGATGTCTGTCTGATGCAGAATACTGACATGACATTATGGAAATTCATGATTATCCCTTTTTTTTTTTTTTTTTTTTGTTTGACTTCTTTAACCTAGCATTATAATTTGGGTCTTCAGTCACAGTGTGTGATGTCCCTAAGCTATCCTATCCATGAATAAAACTAACTACTTTTTTTGCCATGGGTGTTTGATCTGATTTAGCTAACACTAAGGTGATCCATCTCATAAAGAAGTGTTGCAAATAATTTCAAGTTTTAAAAGTTTGTTTTCCTTTGTGTAACTGTGTTCACCATTTCCAAGCAGTGACCCTTTCTATGTGTGGGCATGTGAATGAGATCTGTCATTTCTTTTCTTCTTTCTAGGGGAACTACGTCACTGCCCGTAACTACTATGAAAAAGCTTTACAGCTGGTTCCAAACAGCAAATTGCTGAAGGAGAATCTGGCCAAACTGGATCGATTAGAGAAGAGGTTACAGGAGGTCCAAGAGAAAGATCAGACATAGCATTCAGTCAACAGTGGGAAGAAACTTACGATCCTTGGAAAAGCCTGAAAGTGACACTGAAGGAACTTAGATATGATGCAGAATTATGGAASGCAAATTCTGGCTGCATGCTTGTTTGACCAAAGTTACAGGAGACACTCAGCTCATGTGGAACATGCTGGAGAACCAATGAAAACCTCCTTGGAGTCAAGATTCATGTTTAGGTTGAACCCRTCTTAGTCACACAAGTAATATGGGTGGAACATGCACCTTCAATATCTTAGTTATTGCTGKAGAAGCTGCGGAGACAAAACACTCATCCACTGCCCTGAGGCTGAAGTAGCACCTCTTGTTACTCCACACAGACTCACCTAGGCCTCATAAAGTACCATTGATGGTCTTCATTGCAAGTGCTGCCAGGTCCTTCTGAGCCAGGAAGATAGACATAGTGGTCATATAAAAGGGTTTCAGAGGGTTGATGTTGAGGAAATGGTGGCCACTTTTGCAGCCTGTGACTTGAAAGTGATCCTAAAGAAAGGGAAAGAAATGTCTGAGTATCACCTTAGAAGGATGATTCTGCAGCTAGAACAAACGATTCTATGAGGGGAAACTGCAGCTGAATGTTTTACTCATAAGATAGTAATTTTGTAGTAATTCAGGTTCATGATATCAGCACTGTCAAATATCATATGGCTTTACCCTTTGCCCTCTCTCTCCAGGCCAAGTAATTATTACTCTGAAAAYTAGAAACATGGAAAAGCAGTGGGAACCTCTAGAATTGTCCTCCTGTCCAGTCCCCAGTAAAAAATGAATGAACAAACCAAAAAAGAGCCCAACTAACCTGATCAACATAGGAGGTAAAGTAAAGCCACAAAGAGATTAGGGATGATTTGGTAGGTGGGAAAGGTACTAAAGAGGATTCTTTATGGGTGTGCAGGGAGAAAGCCCATTTATCATGGTGATAACTCTGATAAAACGTGTTGTCAAAGTGTTCTCACCTCCTCCCCCAAGAGATGCAGAAAATGAGCTATAGCTGATCAGTCATAAATCTATATTTTTAAATACTGAAGTGGGGAAATGAATTCTCTCCGGAACTGAGGATTTTATTTTTGAGTTTATTTATTTAACTTATAAACAAATAATTAATATATTTTCTCTGTTTTATAAGAACTAGCCAGTGTCCTTGACGGGTGACTACGTGGTTGGGCAGTGCCTCGTATTGTCCGAAGCTAGAGAACGCAGCACCACCGAGGCAGGCTTGGATAATGTGCTCAGATGGTATTTCTGAAGCTCTAAAGTGTAGTGGACCAGCCTGTCACTGCAAGAACAGCACTTTTCCTGGCTCCTACTGGGCTTGCACAAAGAAACATGAAGGGTTGGTGGGATAGTGCCCTGTGGCGTGGGCAGCTGGGTAGGTCCCCAGCTTGTTCCTCTCGAAGAAGGAAGCCACCATAAGTTGGTTATACTTGAGCTTGGCTTTGCCTGGTTGCAGCAGAGAAGCAGCCCACAGTGTGGTCCTGGTAGGGAGAGCTGGGGTTAGGACTGAGCTGCCCCGCTACCACCCGTGGGCCTGCGGGAGCTGTCGTTTCCCTGGTGGGCACCRCGTGAGGTGGCTCACGGTGCAGGTGCCCGGCTCTGCTGAACCGCAGGGACCGGTTTTGCTGGTCCCGACTTGGGCACCGCGGGTTCCCCGCCAGGGTCCCTCCGTGACGGTGGCAGCAGAAGGGGCGTCACGCTCACACCAAGTCAGTAAGGACTGTGTGTTCTTCYAGCCATGCACCGGTATGGCTTTAGGTTGTGGCCAATGGAAAGTATTTTTTCAAATATAGAAGAAGATGTATTTTTTATAGCAGTGCTGTGGGAGGGAGGTAACTCGGGTTTTTTTGCTTTCAGTWTTGACATAAAGTTGCGTTTGTCTTTCCTAAGACACCCAGTGCCAGTGGGGATCGCCTTCTTGTCCTAGCGTCCATCCAAAGCCATCCCGACCTCCTAAAACCAGTACATGTGCATAATATATAATACAGCTATTTAGGTGTCCCTCCAAGCTCCTGGAAAAGAATTGCATTTATTTTGCCTGGCTTTCTTACCTGCAGGAGGATATAGGGTGGCCGTTGTTCCTTTGAGGAAGGCTGTGCAGCAGGAAGGCTTGTCATATGTCCCACTGGAATTAGGCAGGAACATGTCCRTGTAGTTAGGCCCAGCTAAACTGCATTGCGGTTATATGCTGAAAGGTGGAGTCTCCACCTCTGTGAGCTGGGTTTAATGTAGTTACRGGGAGAGGAGGGGTCATTAATGAATCCCACGTTCCGAACACAGCACTTTATAGACCATATCTATGCAGAGTGGCAGTCTGCAGACTGGCAGGGTATTTGGAGAATGACTCAGGCCACAAGCTACCAAAGCAGTTAAACCCTTGTGCAGATCTGAGCTCACTCGCCGTCTCACTGGCTTCCATGCTGAAATGCAGTGTTTGTTCAGGATGTTAATCTGGTGAAAAGTTCACGGCAGATGAGAACAGTGGACTGTAATATGAAATGGGTAACCTCCACCAGAAGGGATTGTTATTGTGAAGATCAATAGGTGACTTACCTTGTKATAAACTGGATATTATCCTTATTAATCATAGGAAACGGTGTCTTCCTTTAGCATTGCACAGTTCATCAGACACTGCATTGTGGATACGCTGGTTTSTGCCAACGGCGTGGTGTTCGTGCACGCTTGGCAGAGACTGCAGATCCGTGGGTTAATGGCTGATTGTACAGAGGGGTGGTGGGGCTCCTCCTGTGTCCCAGTGGCCAAACCTCAGCACACGTGTGGGTGCTCAGCAATATGCAAGTGGGGAATTGACACCAGCTTGGTTAGACAGGACTCTCGTGTAATCACTGTGCATTTCCACTGTCAACGGAGAACAAAGCAACCGTGCTGCTTCCTCCTTATGAATAACAATTTCAGCTSATGTATTTTGTTTTCTTTGCTCCCATTCCTTCCCCATCCCTCAGGATGAATGATGCAAGGAGGGACATTTTATGTCTCTCATAGATGGTTTGCACTAAATTTTCCCAAAATTATGCAGGCAAGTTGTTTTGGCCTTCCAGGAAGCGAATGCAGCAGYGGGAATGACCCTTATTCCAGCAGGGTGGATGTGGATGGGGAGGGCACACGTCTCACACCTCCGTCAAGCAATGCAGAATGGAGAGCCTGCCGACCTGGCTTGCTTTGCTGGGCCCTTGGCAAAAGCTGCTCAACATTCACGGGAGGCAGGCCAAGACGGTCAGCCCWGTTTGGTGAAAGAAGCTTGTTTTCATTCTAATGGAAGTAATTAGCACATTTCATGTAATTCTAACTGTGTGATCTTTTTCCCCACTTGTCCTCCAGCTCGGTGAAGCAGTTGGCATGTGCTTAAGTCTCCTCAAACTGTACGTGCATTAAATCGACCAAGTGTTCAATTCCAGGTTTTCACACATGAAATTGTGTACAATCTTTGAAAGAATTTAGCTCTTAAAGTCTTTTTTCCCCCCAAATACGCCGTTTCTTGCAGCAGTTCTAAAATGCCTCATTTTGCTTTCACGTACATTCAAACAACCCATCAGGAAAAAAGAAAAAAAAAAAAAAAAGAAAGAAAAATGTGCTTGGCATTCACTAGTGTCTCAATGTGGCAAAGTTGTGTCAGATAATCTTGATAACTTGTGCAAAACTTGTGCAGAAGTTCCTTGCCATTTTTGTACTGACTTGCTGGGAATTCTTTTCTAGGAAATAGGCCCAGTGGTAGCCTCTGTAAAAGTTATGGCTTCTACAAATATGTTACTGTAGAAATCTCTGCCCGAGTAGATGTCATGCTGCGTGTTCCTATCGCGTGGGAGCTTTTTGCATTGGCTGTTGTTCATATGGTTCTTATTTCTATACCTATTTTTTTAATCAGTTGGAAAAAATAAATGGAAACAAGAAAACAGCCCATGGATCTGAAATCTTTCAAAATTAAATTCACACTTAGCAGCAGCTGGACGTATGGAATTTTCGAAGTCTTTGCTTTTTCACTGTGGGAATTATGGATAGATTTCATGTAAAAGAGTTATGCTCGAAGTCTTTGCAAAAGAAAAAATGTATGTAAATGTCTATTTTATATAAAAACTAAGAAAAATAACTGATGTGTCTAGTTTGGTTCTGTTGGCTGTAAGTCGGTTCCTAGGACCAACCAGGAATAGATGCTTCTAGAGGTGGAAGAGCCAAGGATTCTTACTCCAGTTGACTTGTGTTTTATTGCCCAAGGAGTTCAGATGATTACTCACACAGGAGCAACTATTCAGCACATGTACTGGAGTCTGGCCATATAAAATATAACAGGGTAGGCATTTTGGGGGAGCCTGAGCATGAGAAAGGAGGAGGGCTGGTGCTTACACGCTCCTGAGGATTTGGCCGCGTTGCACTGGGGCAAGTTCTTCCTGTGAGGGTTTCACCCCCGTAGCAAACACATCAAGCAGACTTCCCAGTTCAGCAGTACGCAGGTTGATCCTTTCAGCAGAAGAGTGATGAACACGGCCAGGGCCGACTGTCTCTCTCYGCCGCTTGAGCAGCCTGATGAACCACAGCCACCTCAGCGGCAAATGAATCATGGAAAGGGATGGATTTTGACATTTTTATTAGAACGGGAGAGGGGCCATTCCCAGGGGTGGCCCTGCCGATAGGCTTGGAGGGAGAGACAATGATCCAGCAAACTGGGGCAGGCTGGGCAGGGCTCATCCCTTCCATCCCCTATGCAGCAGCTCCCCGGGGCCACTGCCTACCAGCTAGCTCCCCAGAGATTAAAATAAAATAAAATAAAATAAAATAAAATAAAATAAAATAAAATAAAATAAAATAAAATAAAATAAAATAAAATAAAATAAAATAAAATAAAATAAAATAAAATAAAATAAAATAAAATAAAATAAAATAAAATTTTTTAGTGCCTTGGTATACCCTCTTCGGCACTGCAGGCTACTTAGGCAGGGTAGCTCCTTCCAAGGGCTATGGAGCAAAACTCGGCACGACACGGCAGGCTCCAGCCCGCACTGCCTGTGGCACTGTTGTCACCAGCGGAGAGCAGAGCAAGTGACACGGCGACTCTGCTCTGCAAAGTCTTCGAAAGAAACCCTCTTTGAGGCAGAATATGGTCRAGGGGAGGCTGAGGAAAATCACTGCAATGGCATCAGCACGTGCAGGCTTGTGGGGCCATTCCATGAACACCAAAGTGGAACCACGGGGAAAAGTGACGTGACAAATGTTAGCGAGGTGACGCTGGTCTGTGTGGTGGTGCTGGGAGTTAACCCRCTCTGAGCTGAGTGCAAGGGCTGCAGGAGGGTCTGTGACCAGGAGGGTGGCAGGATCCTGGGACCYGTCTCGTTCACTGTGGATAAGCCCCAGATCTGCTCTGTATCCATCAGTTCTGGGGCACGTGGAGAGCTGTGCAATCCCAGAGTTAAAGCAAGGGCAGTTCCACACATTGCTCAAAAAACACGTGGGTAGTGGTGCTGCCTGTGAAAAACACCAAGCGTTTCATCTGTGTGCTATGCCCTATGAACATGTCCATGAGAAACTGTCCTCCCGCTGCCTTGTTGTGCCCTGTGGAGCCTGGGGAGCGACACTCCGGGAGATCACAGGGCCAGAAACCAAGCTGAACGCCACCGTGTTTTACAGGGGCTGCAGCAGAGGCAAGGGGGCCCCCTCTGCAACAGTGAAGGGCTAAGAGCAAATTCTGGAGCCTGGGATCCTCCAACCTGCAGCCCTGCAGCTGCCCCTGCCAAATCTGATTGCCCCCTTGTTAATTAAAAGGGCTCGSTAGGGAGCTCAAACCCACCTGGAGGGTGCTGGTTCATTGAGCCCCTGTGGTGTCTGTGTGAGGCTGCTGCACCATGGCAGGAGCAGGGTGCTTTGTCCTGCTGCTGTCCCTGCTCATGCCCCTTCTCCCATCCCCTCTCCCGTGGTGCGGTGAGTCCTGGAGCAGTGGTTGTGGGTGGTGGTGCCCCTGGGCAGGGGCTGCAATGGGCAGCACAGGCTGCGTTCTGTGCTGTAATGTGCCAAGCAAGTAGCACCCCCAAATCAGTGTGTTATCCAAGTGGTGGTTTTGTTTTTCTCTCCCAAAAATCTTTCCTTCCCTTTTCATCCATGCTCTACTTGGCAGAGCRCTTGTTTTGGTTGATGAGTGAGCTTTTGTCCGAGCAGGTTGTGCTGCTGCCGTGGGATCCCTGGCTATGAAAGCAAGAGAAATAGGAACYGTGACCTTTGGAGCAGTTAGCTCAAAAATGTCTTGAAGAGTGATGAGCAGCACCTTGCTGTTGCCACCATGTTCTTGAGTCCTTCTTCAGGCTCCTCCTGCTGAGGCTGAAATATTAACTCCCTTTCTCTGGCCTCTACCCCAACCAAATAAATTAACTGTTCCTCGAAACAGTTCTAGGTAGAAGAGAAATTATGCCTTGTTAAAGGACASTTCTGTCTAGAGAGGGCAGACTGCAAAGAGAGGTTGTGGTGGGCAGAGGAATGATGCTCTTCAGAGCAACTTCTTCCTAACAAAACTATCAGTAAAAGGACTGGCCCACGTGGGGCAAAAAGATGGTGYGAGGGGTGGTGATGTAGCTGGTGACCATTGAGAGCCAGATTCTTGGTCTTCTCCACCGTTTTGTTTATGAAAGTTATTAATCCAAAGTGACTTTGGAGTTGACCCAGACTGATGCCAGGGTGAATGCAGTATGAATACTGCCTGGTTCCTAAGCATTTTGTTCSTTATGCATGGCTGAAACCAAATTTCTGTGAAGGCCTCCTAGGGCTCCCCTGGAAGGGGGCAGAGGATCCCCACTGGTTGATTTGTTGTCATGTGAAACGCATTGGATGTGAACTAATGGAGCAATTTCAGCTGGGGCACCTCTGGACACCATCCTGCTGAAGGGACTGGAGGGAGAGCAGCTGTCCTCTTCTTGGCCACGGAGCCAGAAGCCTGAAACTGCCCCTCTCTCCAAGCTGACCAGCCTASAGAAAAAGACACCCGGTATGAGGAGTTGCAATCACTTCCTCTTCTTGCCACAAGTATTTAAAATAGCACTTTGCACTGTTCTTGGCTATGATTAMCGTGTCCTGCAGCTGATTGAGTTGGGTAGTGCACCCTTTTCCKTCCCAGCCCAGCATGTGGTCTGGCAGGCCCATCAGCTATATATGTTATTCCCTGCTCTGTGAGCGTTACTTTTTTCTTATTTATGCTTTTTTTTTTCCCCTGGAAAATGTAAATGGGATGGCAACAAACTTATCTCRAATTGCACAGTTCACTGAAGCATCTAAAACTTAATCAGACTCCAACATCCCTGGCCRGCCTCCACTCCAAGTCAAACTTTCCCCACGCTCATCATCCACATTTGAGGCACAGCTGGTGCCAAAAGCGATGTGAGAAAGCTCTGTCTTCTCGCAATGCGTTTCAGACTGAAGCCAAGACCAAGTGCTGGGTTAACTCGATTCACAGATGAGATCCTTCAGAAGGACTCYAGTGGGTTTGGTTGTTAAATGCCACTGGGCACTCTAGATGTGGGGGTCTCAGGAGAATAATTTCTGAATAAAGTCAGGTCACATTCTTATCTGTTGTACTTGCTACTTAACTTTGCAGGTTGTATTTTATAAGAAATAATTAGGTTACTGAATGAAATCTAAATTAGATTTCTCTATAACTGTACACAGTTCATGAAAGTAATTCACAGTAGACCTCAGCTTTGCATATATCAACTTCTTATCAAGGCATTTGCTTTCTGTGTACTTTTTCTTTTTACCTCTGCATAATTGCCTTCAGCTTGGAGCTTGGGCTGGAGTCAGGAAAGCTGCAATACCTGGGATGTGTCCTATTGCTTTCCCATCCTGCAGCAAAGCCTGAAGTCTGAAATGGTGCTTCTGAGCATCTGGAAGGCTGTCTTGCTGCAAAATACTCCCATTTCTTTTATGCAGACCTGAAATGTGGACTTCGTCCTATTGATCTGAAGAGCCCAGAGGATTTTCTACCACTTGGCTCCTTCTCTCGGATTGTTGGTGGGAGAGACTCWGTTCCTGGAGGACACCCTTGGCAGGTCTGTCTTATAATGCCCTGCTCCCATCCTGGAAGGGAAAGAAAGGCAGGAGCACTCTCATTTTTTTCCTCAAGCTGTTGAATTCTGCTTGCTTAGGGTGGGATCTGTTCCAGGAGTCCCTCCTGCCCAGTTTTCCCAGTCTGACATCCCCCTGCCTCTCCTAAGCCAGTTTAATGGTGAAGGTGAGATATCTGGCTGGTGGCAGAGCTCGTGTGACACTTGCCAGCTGAGCATCTGCTGGGCTTTAAGGTGCAGAACCTGGAAATGAGGGCTCCTTTCCAGTTCACTGCCRTGGAAGAATGTTACATTCCCTAACAACTTGCATTTGTCTAGTGAAAAAACTGAGTGATGACCATGAGGCTATGATTTAGAAACAACCTAGCAGAACATGGTCTATTCAGAAAGAAACTGCTGTTAGACATTTCCTTCACGAGAAAGGTACTTCTTCCTTGCGTGTTGCCAGAGCTATGCTTGAGACCTGTGGCAAATGATATTCTTAATAGTGAGGGTGACAGAGCCCTGGCRCAGGCTGCCCAAGGAGGTTGTGGAGWYTCYTCCTCTGGAGATSTTCCAAACCCGCCTGGATGCCGCCCTGTGCCCYGGGTGTCCCTGCTGGAGCAGGGGGTTGGACTAGATGATCTCTAGAGGTCCCTTCTAGCCTCCACCATTCTATGATTCTGTATTAGCCATCTTCTGCCCAAACACCTGTCTTTATACATGTAGCAGTTTGGAAATGTATGTAGAGAGCAGCAAGAGAGGCTGGAGGGAGCCAGGGGTAGTCAGATGGGGAGAGGGAAAGGTGCAGGGAGTGGAAAGAAGGATCTTCTGAACTCCTTTCTAGTATCAAGGCATGAAGCAGCCAGACCTCTGTCTAGTTGCCCCCATTTTGAGGAGCTCCAGGGTTTCAATGCTGGTAGGACTGAAGAKGGGTGCTGAGGGTCAGTCACATCTGAGAAATGGCTTCCTTGGGCTCCAGCTGTCTGAGAATTGCACGTGAATATTGAGAAGAAATGGCATGGTTATGGAGCTTTTCTGAGCTGGTCTGGTCTTTGACACTTTAATGTTTTGGGAGGGCTTGCTTAATCTTGATGTGTACCTGACTCTCTTTGAAGGTGTCCCTCAAACTGGGCCGTTTCCATTTCTGTGGTGGCAGCCTAGTCCGAGAAGACGTGGTCATCACTGCAGCTCACTGCATGGCCAACCTGGAGCAGTAAGTCTGTCCTCCTAACTCRCAGCTTCTCTTAGGAAAAGCTCCCATTACAACAAGGGCATCTCATGAGCGTGGTGCAGCTCCCTCCTTAGGAAGCGAATGGCACCCACGAATGGCACCCAYGTTATCTAGTGGGACCAGAGCTCTGCAACGTGCAGCTCTGTGGGGCAGGTCACTCCAGATGCACTGGTGTCCCCTACCAGAACACTCTTTCTTGGGGAGTAACACCCAGAGATCCAAACTGAAGACCAGGGAGAGGGCTCCCTGCACAAGGGGATTGTAACTCCAATTTAAATGCCTTGTTCAGTGCAAAAACTGGATTAGGAGTTGGATGTTTGCTCACTGAGTTGTCTCCTGAGGAATTAACCACCTGTCTCAGCTAAAACCAGTCTAGAGTGAAAAGTCTTGACAAGACAAAAGTAGAATCAGCCCTGGCAGATGTCCTATTACTCATGGCAGTTGCATTGGCTTCTGTAGTTTAAATGCAAGACCAGCTTTACAAAGCATGCTAAAGACCTCTYAATGGGCAGAGACAAAGCCTTAACTGCCGACTTTGCCAGCCCTTTTATAATCTCTTATAATGTAACTGCACATCAGTCAGCTTCACATCTGTGTCTCATTGAACTTGAGCACCATTTTTAAGGATGGATGTTGAATAATGAAAGTTGCTATGGTGGAAAAAACTTTTATGTGTAAACTAATGAGATACCTCCTTGTTTTCCTGTTCACTGCAAAATTAGGTAGTGCTTTTACTTTCAATGTTTATGGCAATAATGCTGCTCGATGATGTTCCCATCTAGGGCAGCTTTTTGCACTGTCATGCAACCCTGGTGTCAAACTGCTAGCAAGCATGGGGATCACCATCACTGTGTTGGTAGATGGGCTCCTGAGATTAAAACTGAGCTGTATCCTCAGTGGGTCTGTTACTTATGCCCGGAAGTGATCATAAAATGAGGTGAAGGGTTTCCTCAGGATGGAGGAAAAAAAAATCTGAATTTACTGGAAAGTATTGAAGGAACTGCCATGATTCAATATTTCTGGTGCCACAGCCCAGGGTAGGGAGTCATAAAAGCTAGTGTGAGTGATAATTAGTCCTCCTCAAAGCTCTTGAAGTACTACTTTATGAAGGAGTATATTCTTATAGAGATTAGAGGATACTGAGGGAAGATGGTTCCTATGAAGCTGCCATGCACCACTAGAATGGGCTCTGAGTTGGTTTTTTGGATACTGGGCTTTCCTGGATTCTCAAATGGATGAAGCCTGAAAGGGTGAGACAATGGTCTCAGGCTTGATTTTTGTCCAGTTTCTGTAGCAGTTCAGGTAGACCTTTAAACCAGCCCTCATCACCAGAGAGCCACAAGCCTGTGTGCCGTGTGAGGCTCTAACRGGAGATGCAGCCTAGGGAAGTGAGGATGATGAGCAGTGCTTCTGCCTCCCACAGGGGACAGAGAGCCCCCGTTCCAGGTTATGGCTGAGCTAAGGACCCAGGCAACACTTGTTAGGCACAAAACTGTCCCACTCTGTGGCTGAAGTCCAAGGAAAACAGTAAATTACATATCTGCTCCCCATGTACTTATTGGTTACTACTGCTCTGATAGCATAGTCATCTCCCTGTGAATTGGGAAAAGAAATATCTGAGGAGTATTTTGGTTCAGCTCAAGTTGATTGCTCTAAGTTTASCTGTGACATTATATTGCTTATAAAATATGCAACAAACCCATAATTGTCTAGCATTAATTTAAACCACATATTTGCCTAAAACCATTATAAAGCTCTTGAATGTAGGCATCTGCTCATTTCCTAARTGCTTTGATAGCAAAATTAGAAAGAATTTAAGGGATTAAAAAGACTTTGGCATTCAATTCCTGTTGCTTTTAGGCCTCCCCATGTGGCTCTTGGGACCCCAGATTGCAGGTAGCCTGTGGCTCAGCCCTTGTTATCTCCTATCTAGGGTATCTGAAACACCAGATGCTGTGGGAGGTCCAGAGTAAAAGGTAGCTGTTGTTTTGCCCGGTACAAGGCTGTCTAAAAAGATCTTCTAGGACCTTYCCTGGCCTCCTGGTAGCTCTGCTCTCCTTGGTTATGAATAGTGGTTTGATGAATAACAGATGAACCAAAACCTCTCTATCCTTTTGGCTAATAAAACTAATGCGAGGCAGCGGCCCAGTGAAATAGCCCATTGCAGAGGGCAGGTTCCCCAGGATGGGTGAGGATGCTTTGGGCTTGAACACTGGCATCTGGGCAGGGATCTGTGCGTGCACTGATGCTGCTTGAGGGGGGGAAAAGGCTTTTCCATGCGTTGCAGCCTCCCYAACAGCTGCCTTTTCCCCAGGAAGCTGCTGGGGCGGCTGGTGGCGACGGTGGGCGAGCACGGGCTGCGGCGGGCGGACCGCGAGGAGCAGAGCATCCCTGTGGCGCGCRTCGCCGTCCACCCGGGCTTCGAGGCGCGGCGCTACCCGGAGCGCGACGTGGCCGTGCTGCGGCTGCAGCGCCCGGCGCGACGCGGTGAGCTGAGCCCAGCCCCACGGGGCACCCGTCCCGCTCTGAGCCTGCCAAAGCTCAGCTTAAGCTCCCCTAAAGGCAGCATTGCTGCTCGTTTGCATTGCTGTTTTATAAATACCTGTGAGACTGGGTGTTTTGAGGGGGAAGGCGGGTGGTTCGGTGCTATTTGGAGGGTGCTGATCCTCCAGTGAGACTTGTGCTCACAGTACGGTATTGGAACCAGTGGGTTTGTGTGCTCATGTGCACGTCCTTTCCTCCACAGGGGACGAGGTTCACCCCATCTGCCTTCCGCACAGGGATGAGGACTTTGAGCCTGGGACCCTGTGCGTGGCTAGTGGCTGGGGCAAAATGTCAGAGGGTGAGTAAAACGGCAGGGTCTTCTGGTGAACGTTACAGGATACAGACACTGATTGGGGAAGACGGTTTATTTCAGGAACAGCAACGCTAGGAAAGGTGACTCTTGCCAGATGGAGAGTTAAAGGTCTCCTCTCCTTGTCAGAGGGCTGGCACTGGCAGGGATGTGYGGATCAGTGTTCTCCTGCCCTTGTAAAATCTTGAGTCCATTAGCAATGGTTGTGCTTTGCAGTAATGCTGTGCGCATGTGTGCCTGCTTTGCAGAGATAGAATTGTCCTTACAAGGTGCTGCAAAAGGGAGCATAGGTCCCTTATACCTAAATTATACACAGGMTTTTATACTGTCTCCACTAGCTATGAGCAAGTTGTTCCCTCAAGGGAATTTCACTCGTTTGCATTTTGGCAGATTTCAAAGAAGTTGGAAGATTTAGCATCCTTTCCCTCCCTACCCATTCCCACCAGCAAGGAGATGTCCTGCTCTTGCCCTGGTCAGAGATGAGATTTTTGCATCAGCTGAGAGCAAAGCAATGCATGTGCTTGCCTAGCTCTGTGACTTGCTTCAGTGAGGCCTCAACTGCCCCAAAACGGGCACTGGGCACTGACAAGGAGGCAACAGGCCCTGACCTCACGAGCCGCTCACCATGCTGGCCGTGGCTCTGGAAGGGGATGGTGGTGGCTGCCCTTCATCCCCGCCCTTCCTCCTCTTCCTCGCCCTGGGCGCTGGACGCTGCGCTGTGCCCGCAGGCTCCGGGCGGCCTGCGGCCGTGCTGCAGGAGGTGGAGCTGCCCCTGGTCGACGGCGACGCCTGCGGGGCCCTGCTGCGGGACGCGGGCCTGCCGGCGCCGCCGCGCGGCTCCGTGCTCTGCGCCGGCTTTCCCGATGGCGGCAAGGACGCCTGCGAGGTAACGACCTGCGGCTCGCKTGGCCCTGTGCGAGGGCTCTCCTTCCCGCTGGGAAACTGTCCTCCTGGGAGAACGGGGAAGGGCTGTGCTGACAGCGCTGTCAGCTCCCCGCTGAGCAAGGGCTTTGCAAGGAGCTTCGGGATAACTGAKGCAGGAGGAGGGTTTTGCTGGTGGGAATACTGATGCGGGCAGGAAACTGCAGTGAAGGTGCTCCCGTGCCCAGGTCTGCTCTGAGTGCTGCTAGCAGGAGGAGCCTTGTCCCAGCATGTGGGTGTCACCACCTCTGCTTGGACTGCAAGGGACCTGCAGTGGTGGCACCCCACGGGCAGTCCTACCARGAGGTGGAAAAGGAGGTTTTTCTCACCTTTTGCTTGGGGAAAAGTACTGCTGCCTGCACTAGGAGGGGTTTATGACCTATCTGTTCACCATTGGGAATGTTAAGATTAACACTTGCTGTAGGCTAGTGCTCCCTGCCCTGTTCCCCATAGCAGGAGAGCATCTTGTCTTGTCTGTGTCCTGGGAAGCCAGTGTGCTGTGCTTCCACCTGGCTGCTTCAGGTACTTGCATGGATGCTTTTGCTAGTAGTAAGAAGCAGTTTGAGATGCTCCCCACCTCCTGTCATAGCTTGTGTGAACACTTGCAAAGTTAAAGTTATGCTGTAGTTAATTTTGGTGCAATAGTTTGCATTTTTTAAATTACACCTGGAAAGGGGAATGGTGGTGGGAAAGAGGTAGGGTGCTAAACTACAAGTCACTTCAGAGGGGTGAAACAACCTGATTCTGTGAGCATAGCTCCTATATAGCTTAGATCATCTGATGCAGCTCAATGAGCAGCAAAATGCCAGGCCTGGGTGACTGGGGAGATGCAAGGGAGGCTGTGCTGGTCTCTGTGGTACGTGTGGCCCCTTCATGTAACCCTAGCAAAGACCTGTGCTGCTGGCATGTGAATAATGTGTTTTTCTTCCCCACGGGCTGAGCAGGGTGACTCTGGAGGCCCCCTCGCGTGCATGAGACCCAGCGGCGCCTGGACCTTGGCCGGCGTGGTGTCCTGGGGGGTGGGCTGTGCCAGGGCCTGGGGTACCCCATGGGGACACACCGCGGACCGGGGCTCCCCAGGCGTCTTCTCCCGGGTGGCTGCGTTCATGGACTTCATTGCTCAGCACATGACAGCTGGTAGGTGCRAGCACCTTGAGGCTTTTCTTTCCTGTATGTTCGTGTCAGAGCTTGAAAACTGTCCTGCTACTTCTACCTTCCCTCCTCTCTCTCCGCGGTGGTCCTGCTTCATTTCCACCCACTTCATAAGTAGCGAAGTAGTTTCTGAATTTGGGATGGTAGAAACAAAGGCCTGAACAGRTACTTCCCTCTTCAGAAAGACAGCTATAATAGCAGCATTGACCTTCTCATCTCCKGAGGGGGGAAAGCAGAAGGCTACTCCTGCTGTCCCTCTTTCTGGATGAATGCAGTCCTCCTAGCTCAGAAGTGTCCCTTGAGCGCTGAATACCCATCCTGTTCTCATAAAAGCTCTTTGAGTGTTTGCCAGCCAGAAAGCTGAGCTGCTGTTGTGTTCCTGAAGCAGCACACAGCATTGGTGGTGGGGGTTACCTCCTAATCAAATACAGCTTTGAATGTGTATGGGAAGCAGTGTGCTGGATTGAGCGCATCAGTTTTAGAGGTTTATCAGAAGAGCCCTTTATATGGAGACACAAGTTTAGCTGCTCTCTGCAGGACACTTGTATTTTTCTCTACAGATGATTGTAGCACTAATACAAGTTATTAAAAATGTCATTAAATTCCATCATAGCCATCAAAGGTGGGGTGTTACAATACCTAACCTATTGCAGCTTTGCTAGGGCTTCTTAATGATAATACTGTCTGAAAGGGACTGTATGCAGCTGGGGATGTGCCTCTTAATTGGGAATGGTAACTGCAAGGAGCAGAAGCCGTGTGGCTCCAAAGTGCCCGCACTAGCCTTTACAAAGCCGAACTACTAGGGCTTGCACAAATTGAATGCCCATAAAGACAAAGGGAATACTAGCATTAAAACTTGCCTTTAAATAAAAGTAAACGTGGAGGAAGCTATTGCAGTTCTTAGTAGGCTCAGTGAATGCAGGACCACTGTGTCGGCTGGACAGATTTGGAGGTTTGGGGAGGGTTTTAAATAGACCTTTGGGATCAAATTCAGTGTTAGTAACTGAGACTTCTCTTAGCTGCATGTCAAGTGTTTTGCTTGAAACAACTGCAGTGTCATAGGCTGTGCTGTGACTGATAGCACTTGCATGGCAGTATTCCTTATGATGGTTTTCTCTTGCCAGCTGCTGTGCCCAACCCTCTTCCCATGCCAGCTCAGTGCAGTTCCCAAGGCATACCGGTTTTTGGAGAAAATGGTCGCATTCAGTATCCMCAGGCTTTGGAGGATAATTACCCTGACAACAGGTAACTGGGCTTTGGTAACCCAAATACTGGATTTTCTGCAGAGCACCTACTGGAGCGTTTTCCCTCAGAAAACATTTTCAGAAGCATTCCTGAGTGATCTTGGTCTCTTGCCTGATGCTGGCCAGGGAACTGCTATTCRTGGTCTCCAGATTACAGTGGATGCGAGTCCTCTACTATGCAAATCCCCTGTTCTGCTTGTGGACAGGATGTCCCTGAGGRCAGGAGGACACAATCCGTTTAATGCAGATTCAACGTGAGCCACACTCAAAACCATGGCTGGAGATCTGCTGTATCCTTTATCCTTTGTAGTCTGACCATATCTATGTCAGCTCATGCTAAGAAGCTTTTAGCTCTTGCAAGGGATGTGGGGATGTGGAGGTCTGGACTGGTGGGATGTCCTTTGTACAATACAGAGCTGCCGTAAGGAAATGTTGATCCCCAACTAGTGCTGAGCAAATACACCACAGTCCTTTGCTATTGGTGACCGTCTTCCCAGGCAGCTTATGTAAAGAGGAAACCTATGAACTTAACCAAGCGAAACTGGTGACATCATTTATCAACTTGTAGCCTGTGCCACCATGAAGGTAGTCATTGGAGATTCCCAATAAAAGGTGGGACCAASAAGGGCAAAGCTAAGTCATGCAGACAACTGCACTTACTCTTGCTTGCTTCTAGCCTGTGCATTTGGAATATAACAGTGCCAGAAGAGAAGATCATCTTGATACACTTCACCAAGCTAGATGTAGAGAGTCAAGTTGGATGTGAGTGTGATTACGTCTCCATCTACTCGAGTAGAAGAGAATTAATCAGTAAGTGCCTTGGACTGAGAATCATGGAGTATAATCTCTTGCCATTGTTTGTCATAAATAATAGCAAATTTAGCCACATTTTGTGAAGTCCTTTTTATTTTGCATTGCGATCCTGGGTGAGGAGACTCCCCAGTGGAGCAAGGCAAGTGGACTGGGGCACGTGTTTATGCTTGTGCTGGCATGCAGCACAAGTCATGGGCTCAGTGTTTCRGTGCCTTACGGCTGTGCACAAATCCTCTGTGCTCTGTCTGCTTTGTCTCCCTTACACCTATGAATCCTGGATATCAGAATAAATCGAATGCTTAATTGTTGTGCTTAGCTGGTGCTTGTGCAGGTATGTTCAGGATGCTGCACTGTTAGTGTCGCCAGCGAGTGCTGTGTGTGTTGGAGGCACAGTGCACAAGTCTGCTTGTTAGTCTCARATTGGATTATATGCAGATTTCTCAGCAAATGTAGGCATGAGACCAAAAAGTGTCCTTTCCTTCTGAGATGCTGTTGATTCTAAATTCAAATGTTTCATGTGAATGTTGTTTGTTTCTCCACTCTACTTTAGTGTTAATGGTTATTTGCTAATAATAGCCTAATCATAATTCCTAGTCTGTGCAATTCATCTTCCAGGAACTTCATGAGGTTGTTTTAGATTAAGTCCCATTTCTTCATTTTTTTCTCTAYAGCCTCTAATTATTTTCCAATAATTAAAGCAGAACAGTGTCTCTGTGTGAGGAGACCTTCTTGATGGGGTCTAGTGTAATACATTGCAAAGACTCACCTGAATAAATGCATGTTCTGTCCACCTTTAACATGGCTCTGTGTCCTCCCTCAGGTAAGATGTGTGGGGACGTGCTGCCGGCCCCTCTGCTGGTAGAGTCAGACAGAGCCACCGTCACGTTTGTTTCTGATGGAGACAATACTGGCCGTGGATTTGAGCTCGCCTTCACGGCCGTCCCCAAGGAATCTGAAGCAGGTGACATTGTCTGTACTGTGGAAACTCCTTTCATGGTCTTTCTGTTCCCTTTAAAAGAATAACTATCCTTAGTGTGCCTGAGTGCCCCAAAAATCAAGTTGTTGAGGTGGCTTTATTAAAAAATAATGTACAGCTGACGTGTGTTAAATCTGTATCCTTCCTTGTCTGTAGGTTCAGGCTGTGGGAGTGTGGCAATCCTAGTGGAAGAGGGAAGGATTGATACTGCTAATTACCCTGGCTTGTATCCCAGGAACACAGAGTGCCACTGGCTCATTGAGGCTCCAATAGAGAATACCATAAAGGTAATAGAAAGAGAAGCTGTGCTTAAACATCTGCACTCAGAGCTATTTGGGGAAGTAGTTCAATAAAATCCTGCCAGAAACATCTGTGACGTGCAGGCCTATAAACTGTGTGATTTCCAGGTCGCTRACTTTTTGCAGGGTTTATTTTGCCAATTAGGCATCTCCTCTGAGCTGGTGCATGGAGCTGCTTTAACTGCTCCCTGATGACTTGTGTTAAGTGCTTGAAATCTGTAGGCACCAATCTGATCTATGGATAGCTTTATCTTGAAGTCCTCAAACCCCATGCTGGAAAGGGAAAGGTAGGGATCATCCTGCAAGGGATCATCCTTTTCCTCCAGTCAGTATCAGAGGTACTAAGCTCTTTATTGAGGTATTTACTACTTGTTGCACATGAGTTGTGTGTTAATAGCTCCCAGTTATAGTACCAGCATCATTCCTCTGCTTTTTACTGACTATTGCTGTGCGCAGCAAGCATCCCATTGAACTGGTCCCACCTTATGATAGGAGTCGTGTTGCCCTCCTGTACTGCTGCAAGCAAAATCTTTCCTCTGCTCTCTTGGCTAAGGGATGGAAAATAATACTGAACCTAGGGCTGTTCAATGGTGTACAGACCTGTTGGCTGTGTTTGTGAGAACTTGCTGAATGGCAAAAATAGGAAAGTGGAAAACCTCTTCCCCCAGGCTCTTGAAAATAAAGCCTTCTTACAAGGGCACTCCATATGTGACACAGACTCTTTGAAGTTACATTGAGTGTTGTAGCAAAGATGTGATAAGAGTATGATGTGGTAAAGATGACCTGAGAAATTCCTCACAGAAAAGGTTAGGCCTGTTTCATCTTCTGCATCCCTGCTCTGTAGCCCTGCACAGAGGGAGCAATTGGGAGAGTCTGGCCAGGGTTTTTGGCAGACAGTGACTGGGTGCAACCTGTGGCCCCCTCAGCAAGGGAAACCATGCCCAAATTTTTCCTAAATGCAGTTTTTACTAGCCTATCATTAAGAAGGTTAAATATTTTAGTTATTTCAGCCTTATTGAGTTCCTTTGGCTTGTTCTCTTTGCAGCTGGAGTTTGAAGACTTTGCTGTAGAACCGAGTCCGAGCTGTATTTATGATGCAGTTACTSTTTACAGCGATGCTGAAGAAGAAAACCAGTTAGGTAAGCACCACCTGCTTCAGTCTTAAGTTAGAACTTACAGTGAAGAAAAAATCAGTTTTTTTTCATATCAAAATACTCCTCCTGTAATCTGGTATTTGATGTATCACTGGAAGGGCAGGGTAATTGTTTTTTGCAGTAACCGTAATGTTCCCTCCTTGCGTGTGGGGCTAATGGTTGAGCTCCCTCAGCACAGGAGTTCCCATGTCYTGGTGGGGATGGCACTTGGCCTGGGCTCCTTAGCCAATATTGYATGGCTGGTGTAGGACCATAGTTGCATTCTGCTGTCTGCCCAGCAAAAGAACACACAAGCGTTCTGCTGCRCCTTGCTCGCTAAGGAGACAGCAAGAGCAACTCCACCCTAAGTGTCCCTTTGAAGATAAACCTTAAAGTAAGGCAGAGTGAAAGAACTGCTCTGATTAGCATCTAATTCCACCGAAATGGAAATGAACTCTTTATGAATGGGGTTGAACTAACACTGCTGGAATATTGCTAATGAAAAATTGCTAACCTGGGGCATCACACTGCCACACTTCTGAAAGGAAACGTTTTTCAGTTATTCACTTTAAAACTGCTTTGATTTTGTCAATATTAAAATTTTAAGTCAGCATAAGTAAAAGTGTTCCTAACTTCCCTTCTTGAGGAGAACTGTGTTTCCAAATCTTATTCCTGGTGCAATGTATTAGACACTTAAACACTTTGAGGCTCTACACTCACCGTAGGTTAGTGGGTTGGTTTTTTTTAATTACTATTTTGTTTTGCTTTTCTAAATGTCTCAGGAGACACTTGAGTTGCACCTTGGCTGTCTCACCACAGGCCGATGTGTGAATCAAGACATATTAGAATGGTGAAGAACTGGTGCACTTTCCTCTACATTAAACAAATACCAGGCTTGTGTTGTCCTGGGTTTGCCACCAACAAGTGACCTTCCACCTCTGTCTTGCGGTGGTAACTATTTCTCATGTTTACCAAGTGCCAAATCAGTATTAACATTAGGTATCTCTTAAAGAAATCTGTTTCTCATTGGAAATGAGAACATATTTAAATGGGGAAAGAAGGCTGATGACACAGAATCTGGAATCTTTCAGGGGAAAGCTTCTAGCATCTTGAAGTACTTCACTCAGTGCTTTCCAACAMAACTTTGTCTTAGGAAACTGTGATTCTAACAGGAAAACTCTTCTGGAATAAACTGTGGGCTTCCTGTCCAGCTCCAATTACAGGGCTCCCATATGCTTTGCAGACCAAGTGTTCTCCAAAGGATGGAGCAGGGGCTGCAAGTCCTCCTCTACACGTAGCTCGTTCAGGAGAAGCTCTGCTTGCACTCCATAATGGCAGGAAATACAGTTCTCTGTGTACCTATTGTGCAGTGGAGGGCATTCCCACTGTCTGAGGTTGCTTTTAACTCCACTGTGAGAAAACAAGGTTTACTTCTGTGTACTGTAGAATAGTTGCAGTACTCACCTTTTTAGTGTTTCTTATGAAGGCAACTAATGAACATCCGCAAGTGTGTCTTCTGGAAAAGTTTGTTCTTTTAGAAAGTCATGAAGTTTCTGGATGAGTTTTTTCTTCTTGGAAGCCTAGATTAGCTAAAGYCAGAAGTACTTAAGTGATGTTATTTCTCATCTTAAGTAGAGCCTGTTCCTTCCTACAGCTAATCTCTGTGGATTCTCCATTCCTAAACCCGTAGTGAGCCCTGAGAATACAATGCTGGTGCATTTTGAGAGTGATGGAGAGAACAGCTTCAGAGGATTCAGAGCCAGGCTCACTTTTGTTCATTCAGGTTAGTAGAGATGCCTGCTGAGTGCAACAATGTCTACATCATCTGCATCTATTTTTAGACTCCTGAACTTATTTTTTTTTAAGACTAAACCTGCTGCAGTCTGTCAGGGCAATTTTAAAAACATAACAGTTGCTTGTGGCTCTGAATAAGAAGGTGAATCAAGCTTTTTTTCTCTCTGAGAAATGACTAGCTTCTCTTGCCTGAAATGATCATCCTTGTTAATTCTATCAGTCTGACACCTGCCTTTACCTCACTGGAAATCTCATTAAACAAGAGGGCCTTGAGCCTGGGGGTGAGTCTGCTATTATTGCTTCCTCACYTCATGAATGTGCCCCAGCTGGTGTCTGCTGGGGAGCTATGGTGAGGAACACTTCCCTTCAAGGGGGCGTTTTGGAGGGGTCAGCTAGGGGGATGAGAAGCCAGACTTGCTGATCCAGGTCAAGTAGAGCTTATTTCTCTTATTTCTTATTTCTTCTTTTCTAGGAGAAGTGGAAAGGGAAAACTTAGAATCAACTACTGTGCCAACATTGCCTCTGAAAGAGCTCCCCTTGGGTAAAGAAATTGAATTCTGCTCAGTTGACCTGCTGCTAGAAGCTTTCCTCTAATCTATAACGGCTTTTTGCAGTGAAATAGATGATTTCTCACCTCAAACCTTCTTTTGTGTKCATCACGTACAGAAGAAAAGCAGCGGGGAAATGTCCCAACTTCTCAGGATGTGCAGCAGCTCCTGTCCCTTCTGACTGCATGCAATTYCTATCTGAAATAGGAAACACAGAGTGAGGGGATGGCAGATGCCTACTTTCAGTCCTGGGCCTTGCTTGTTCCCTGAACCATTAAACTCCCTGGGACTCGGGTCCTGGGACTCAACTTTGTTTTTATTTCCTTCTCCCCGCTCTTTCTGGTGGGAAAGACACCACAAATCTGGTGTCTCCTGTATTTTCAGTCTAGCTGTGTCCACTGTGGAAGATAATCCAGCCAAACAAGGGCCTTCAGTGCAAGCTGGGTCCTCGCTGTGTTGCAGGTGCCTGCGGTCTCCCTGCACTCGCTCCGTGGTGGCTGTTCCAGCGCCTTACAGGGAGCGAAGAGGCCTGTCCCCTCTGCTGGCCTTGGCACGCGGCCCTGAAGCTCCTTGGAGGCTACCGGTGCRACGGGGCTGTTGTGAGCCCCGCGTGGCTGCTGACGAGCGCCCGCTGTGCGCGCCTGTGAGTGCTGTGGGACCAGGGCCCCCAGGCACGAAGGGTGAACAGGTTTACTYGTGTCACTCCCCGGAGATTGCGTTCCCATCTTTGCTTCCTTTGCTGTGCTTCCGATCTGCCCTTCCTTTCATTCTAGAGGTGGCCCTGTCTGGGTTTGGGATGTGCTTTTTATGTGGAAGTTAATAGCACTGTCGGGCTCTGCCACAGCTCTGACTGAGGAGCTGGCATAAAGCACTTGCTGCGGTGAGAAGCTCTTGCTCAGCATTCCTGGGAATAAGTGACTAATTAGAGCCAGAAAGTGTGTGACTGCTGGAAAAGGGAGCTATAAGGCTGGCTGTATAGCTCCAGTGTTTGCTTTTTTTTACACAGATCCAATAACCCCTTGCACTGGACTGTGACAGTAGGAGACCATGACAGAGGCCTGAGAGAGTCAACAGAACAGGTAAAAAGCAAGCAGTGCTATTTTAGAAAATGCTGATGCCACTGCTTTTGCCGTCCCAGGCCTGTCTGGAGGAATATGGTATGTGCAGATAGTGTGGAGCTGACAGCAGGACAACGTAACTGATATACAGCACATGTGGAGGGATGAGAAAGAAAATCCCATGACTYTGATCTCATGGCTAGCTTGAAACTCGTAGAAGTGTTATATCTGTCTTTTTCTCATCGTCGCTAAAATACTTAGCAGATGAATGAGTGACTTCAGTCTTGTCTTGGTGCTGAGCAATATATCTGTCCATTTTTTTTTAAAAAAAAAAAAACAACTTGCTGACCACACCCTCCTAGTAGAGATAGGAAGGAAGAAATGCATATGGGAAAAGCAAAAATGGATTCTCACTAGACTTCTGCAAAACATTCCCACTTGTGTTGGCACAATAGTAGTTGTCTCTCTAGGCTCAGGATAGGATCTAGATAAGCTGTACCAGCATTCCATTTTAAAAATAAAATTAAAAAAAAAAAAAGTGAGGAGTTCATTATTCAAGTCCTCACAGCTTTTTATTTTCATGAAATATTTTCATAAAGTATACACTTTTCTTCTCCGGTCTGACAATTGTTTGTGGGATGTATATCCTTTTCCTTTACTAGTTTTACTCCTCTTTGCTCTCTCTTCCTTCAGAAAGCTCTTTGGAGAGCACTTGTTCCTTCTCTGCCATAACCCCTCGTGTCTTGTTACAGAGGAGGCGCGTGAAGACCATCGTGGTGCATCCCGATTTTGACCCAGCGAGCTACGACTCTGACGTTGCCCTGGTTCAGCTAGAGGCTCCTCTGGAGTACAGCGCTGCGGTGAGGCCAGTGTGCTTACCCCACAGAACGGAGACCTTGCCTTCCTCTTCCCTCTGTGCTGTGTCTGGATGGGGGATCACTGAAGAAGGTGAGTCTCTGGATTTTTGCCTATTTGCCTCTTGCAAGAACATCATACTTTTCCATCTTTAATTATACTCATCTGTTCATACTTACCATAGCAATTGCTCTTTTTCTAAGATGCAGTGGGTTTGAGTCTACTTGTGAATGAAGGAAAGATCCTTTGATGCTAAACTGCTTAAGGATGTAAGCAATTTATAGTGAGTGCAAGTCAYATTGTAGGGAAAACCTTGGAATAGGTGGAGCACTGGCTTCTATTTGCAGAACCAGAACTTGAGATGGATTTCTTTCTATGGCAAAGTGATGAGCATCAAATTCTGGATATGATGAAATGACAGCCCCTTTTGCCAGATGATTGCAGCTAGGGTCCATACTAGTACCGATTCTGAGGAAGAAAAAACGTCTCCTGCGCCTGGCAGGACTGATTTATGAGTAAACTATAAGCAGAGGATTTTGATAATCTGGAAGGAAGTTGGATTCATTTATTAAGTTGTCCTGTTGTATCTGATTTTCTCTAGAAATAGACAACAAGAGATTTGTGTTTTAGGTGAATCCTTTTGGATATTTGCAGTGGTGAGCTTTCTAGTGCTGCGAATCATTTATGGTAGAAGTACTGTGCAAGTGTGTTGTCAATTTATTCCCCAAGCAGATGGGAGCCAAGCTAAGCGACTGCAGCAGATGCAAGTTCCTGTACTTGAAAATGAAGTCTGTGAGAGGAACTACTACTTAAGTCACCCTGGAGGGATCACATCGAGGATGCTTTGTGCAGGCTTTGCTTCTGCTGGAGGGCAGGACTCCTGTCAGGTGAGGCGAAATGAGCCGAGTGCTCTGGAAAGTCTCTGCTTCTCTCTACACTTGTATGTTAGCAAATCCCCTGGGAGAAGGGGTGGGAGAGAGGATGAGGGGAGGACAAGGGAATTTTATACATCAAATGGCAGTTAAAAGCTCCAAGAGGTGTCCATTCATGGAATGGACAATGCTCACAAGAGCAGTAGGTGCGGTCAATCTCTACTAGAGTTAWGCAAGACATAGTGCTCTGTGCTAAGATCTGTGGTCACAGTTTGAATGTTTCTCTACATGGTAATTTCTGAGAACTGTAAATAGAGGATGTTCTGTCTTGCRTTTTCTGAAACCTTTCTCTTAGTTCAGTGAAATATGTCTTAATTGTAGGTTGCTTGCAACCATTTCCAAGACTCTTTCTGAGTAAAAGAAATTATTATGATGTCTATTGGATTTATACAAATCATGATGTAGGTAGGTAAGAATAGTTAAGGAGATAAATAATTTATTTTGCCTAAATAAAAGGCAAAATAACTTTGACCAAGGCATTGTCAMGCTTAAAAAGCAGATCCTTCTTGATACTGCAGTCCTATGGCAGACTGATAAATTACACATAGYGTAAAACGATTGACTCTAGTGCTCTTAAGTCATCAGCCTGTGCTCAGTCTTTATTCCRTGTTGCCCTGCTGATGACCAAACCTTTAAATTGGTGTCTTCAGCTTGAGGATGAGTTGTGCCAGGAGTTGTATACCCTCCTTCTGCYCAGAGGCTTGTGCAGTGACTTCCTTGTCCGATCTGATCTGTCATTGCTCTTCTAGCTTACAGCATAGCAGGGGTCAACAAAATAACCAAGTTCACTGGTCTCTGGTTCTTAGGGAGTCTCTGGTGGCCCWTTGGTTTGCAGCAAGGAAAATGGACCATTTGTTCTTCATGGCATTGCCAGCTGGGGAGTTGGCTGTACCAGACTAAAGAAGCCAGGAGTCTACTCAAGAGTGATGGCTTTCCTGGACTGGATCAGGCTAACCATGAAAGGTGAGTGTAGGTTTTCTGTGAATTTTTTTTTTTTTTTATTCCTCCCTAAACAAGCCATGTCCTTATGCCCTTCATAGCTTTCTAGAATATTTTCTAAGTCTATTGAGGCTTTTTTTCTGGTAGGTCTCTTTTTTTTTTTTTTTTTTTTTTTTTTTGTTTTTTTTGATGAACTTGGAAAGGGAATCAGACATATCCAGGTGCTATCATTAATTTTCCTGTGGGAAGTAGTCTTTTTCCTCTTCCTCATCTGTTTCTCCTACACAAAACTATGTAGAAATTGGAATGGAATTGTTTTAGTAGTACAACATGTGTGTTTATATTCAATTTGAGGCAGAAGTGCTAAACTTTGGGCAGTTTTCTCAGTGAAAAGATGCTTCTGCTGCAAATCGCAGTCTTAGACTTTGATATACAGAACTATTTGGGACAACACCATAAACTGAACTAGTGCTCGTATGTATCTAGATACAAATAACGCCACACTTCAGAACACATTTCTCCAAAGAAACGCTAGTGAAGGAATAATTTATAACAGCTAGTAGTAAATAAGGACTGACATTGCCCACAGAAGTGATAGGCCCCTAGAGACTAATTTCCTTAACTTGGTGGCCCTTATATACAGAAACATGGGAAGAAAACTGAGATGACTTAGATGACCCTCAGCACTGTCATGCTCTTCACTGTACCATTTCTCTCTGTTTCTTTCTCAGCAATTTCATTTCTACTTGAAGTTCCTCTGACCATGGGTAACTTAGTTCTGTAGTTTCATTGGTAAATGGATAAACATATCACTTTATTTAATCCAATGGGATATTCCCTGAGAGAACCCAGAGAGCCTCCAAATTGCTTCAAGTCTAGATCTTTTTGCTCATGTTAAGTAAACTGATTTGTCATTGAAGAAATGCTTAGCTTTGGACTTTGGCTCAAAGTGGTTGCACTGGGAAAAAGCTGATGCCAAATATTTGTCTTCTAAAACCTTATCCTTTTCCCTTGCCTGCATGTGCACTCTCCTACAGCCAAGAATGTAATTCCCTGTTTAGTGAGTAGCTTTGTCCCACAGCCTTTCTTGGGAAAGGAAAGAGCTAATCCTGGACAGAGTTTTCATATTCCTACCCATCCTGTATTTTATTATATTTCTGCTAATGGAAAATGGAGGGTTTCTGGTAATAAGGATATACTTTTCCTGTATCCTGAATCAAGTGTGTTGCTGCTATGAACAGGAAATTAAAGTATATAGTAAAGTATATAGTAAAGAATAGTGGGGATAATACTCCATTCACTCAAGTCAGATGAGAATTAATTCTTCTGCTTTGTACTGCTGTCATCTGCCTCTTTCGCCTTGCAAGGTCATTCTTAGTCCCACACTGACTTAAGAGGAATGTTAGTACAGGTGTGAACTAAATATGAGAACTTTTTTTAAAAAACTAAAAAAGATTAACCATCCAACCACTTGTATGGTAGCCAGATCATCTCTGCAAGTGAGCCAAGAGCTGGCTGGAGATCTCTTCCATTTGCTTGGGTCGAAAGCAACTGGCTGCTGACCACTGGCTATCAGCTGTAACAGCTTTTGTGGATTTCCTGTAGATCAGGCAATTTGAGGAGGGGAATTGCAGTGCTCTGTAGATGTAAATCCTTGCCAGTGGTGACAAGGATTTGCACAACCTACTGCACAGGAACCCTTTACATGCAGTTTCACATAAAAGGTTCAAAGCTCCAAAGGCTTTGAGCCACATACTGACCATTGGTTTCTGTACAAGTGAAATAGCCTTTAGGTACAAGTGAAATAGCCTTTGCATTGCAGGAAATGCTTAACCATAATGATTGTTGCCCAGTAAGCTGTGGTAAGTTGCCTGCAGGCACTTTGTACCTCTTCAGGGGTTGAAGAGAACGTACTGCAGGGAAGCGATGATGGGCTCGGGACCTCGGCATGGGAACAGCCAACAAGTGTGCCCCAAACGTACACAAACTTCGTGGGAGAAGCATGCAAACAAGGTAATAGCTCCTTGCTTGTGTAGAACCTTGTGTGGCTGTCATATACAAGGGGCTGGGTTAGCAAGTGTGAGACCCCAAATATYACGGTGCAACTGAAGTGCATGGTTTAAAACACTCCCTGCCTCCCCCCTCACTGCCCCTCAGTTTTGGCAGACTTGCTGGGTGAGGGTGGGGGCAGGAAGACTGAGTGTAGCCTAGAAAAGAGATGAGACCGTATTGTGACTAGAAAAAGGCTCACCCTGAATAGCAGAGCTCCACTAACATTGCTGTACAGATTTCCTGTGCCCTTGCATATGCTGTCTTATCCCCTTTACTTCTCCTTTACCATCTATGAAATGAGGTGGTAGTTTATTTCTTTAATTGTCTGTCCTTAAGACCTGGAGTCCCTCAGGACAGGGACTATTACTCAAGATCTGTTTACACTTGCATTTAGCATGAGCAGAGTCTGAGTCCTGGGTAAGGCACGAGAAGTGATGAAAAGGCTAAAGTACCCTTAAGGTACAAGGTGACGCTAGTGACAAGGCAGCACTGTCATTCATGGCTTTAAAAAGCAATCTGCTCCTCTTCAGGAGGAGATGTGTTACTGCACAAGTCAACAAGTTGATCTGGCAAGGAGGGTCTCCGCGTGCAACGTGGGCCCTCCTGAAGGAGAAGCACTGAGAGCAACATCAGCACGGCCCTGTGGTGCTGAGCTTGTAGCAGCTTTGGAAATGCAGCCAGGTTCCTGCCTTAATGGGAACAGCTCCCTCGTGGGTGAGGTCAAAGCTGAGGAAAGTGCAASGTGTTGGAGTGTCCTAAATTGGGAGTGACCCTGAATGCCCAAACAGGCTTTTAAAGCAAACTGGGAAAAGCTGTTATAACTCAACCTGATCAGCTTTACTGTCCTTCCCTATAGCTGCCCTTCTGCCCTTCTCCGCTGTTTTCAAGTGCAGGGCCCAATCTCTCCTAGAGGAATGRAGCATGTGTGCAGGAGCCAGGTAGCCAGGCTTGCATGCACCCTCTGATACTTATTGCATCTCTGCTCTGCAGTGCTGCTCGTCCCATAGTAGCTCCTCAGGAGGAGAACGCTCCTCCACCTTCCCTTTGGCACTTGGGGATTGCCAGCCTGCCCAGGGATTCAGCTCCCWTCTTACTTGCCCTGTGCTACTGGCATCCTTCACAGGTACACAGAGACACTGAGGTGCCAGTGCTTCATCCTAGCAGAAAGCTCATAAACGTTGGTGCAGGAGGAATCATCCTTAAGCAGAATTAAAGCTGTTTTGCACAGGGTATGACTTAAAAAAAATATTGCCTTGGGAGGTGAAACAACCCCATTATGCTAGGTACTAAAGGGTTACATAGTTTTCATTGGTGATTGTTTTCTCTCCTCCTGCACTGCTTTAACCTACTCAGCTGCTTCTGAATATTTCCCTGTTGATTTGCTCTCTGACATAGTCAGTCAAACCTTACTAGGCTCTGTGTGTGTGTAGACTAACCCAGCTCTGTTGCTGTGTTTCTAGAGCATAATAAAATGTGCAGAGAAATCAAGGTATTTCATAGCTCTTGTCAAAGGTTGGTCACTAGGTTAGTATTAGAAATCCCAGCTTTTCTTCCATACTCATCAGTGAGAACCCTTGAGGTTGACTGCTATGTTAGCCTGGATGTTTGGCCAACTTGCTTCTTGTTTTCAGGCACTGATTTGAATCACCATTTCCTGCTGATTTTATTTACCTTCGAACATGGGCAGAACTGGCAGACTTTGTGGAAAGCTCTTACTATCTTCTCTTGATGCTTTTATCACTGAATTGAGTGTTTTTTCACAGGATGCATGTCAGAAGTGGAGTCGGAAGAGCCCAGGAGCTTTATCACGGCTACTTCATCGTCAAGATATGTGGAAAGCAGAGAGCACTTGGATGCTCTGACTGTCTCTGAAGGGCATGGCGAAGATTATAGCAAAGCATCTGTCAATGCTAACACCACTGAGCTGTCAGGAGGAGCTTCTTGGGATTTATGAAGAGAGCCAAAGAGGAGGAAAAGTGCAGGGGAACAAACAATCCAAGCGAGGCTGTTCAGACCTAGATTTTTTTTTTTTTGCTTGGGCTAATTTCAGAAAGTGCTTCTGTTGTCAGTTGTATGGCTCTGCAGCCTTGAGTCAAACCCTGCAGCCTGGGCTATCTGAGTGTAAGTTAACCCCCTTGTTCCCTTTGTAAGCAGGCTGCCTTGAGAGGGAGAGAACAGCCATTAGTCATCTGTGATGGAAGGTAAAAGAGGCTATTGCTGGGCAAAGCTGGGGCATTCAGGCAAGCCATGGGAAGGGACTTGTCCATGGAAGGGACTTGTGACCCACACTAGCAGCTTTTATTCAGTGACACTTGCCCCTTCCCTTCCTTTCTACCTCCAGAAGCCTTTGGCTGTAGTGAAATGCAAAGGCAGTAAGTATTACCTAAGTCTTGGAAATGGAATAAATGGAATTGGACCCAGTGTTAGGGTCTGGGGAGTATGAGTGTGACTTTTTACATGAGGTGCAGAACACCACAGCTTTCCCCCATGCTCCTTCAGACCCCGCTGAGGTCCAGCCTACTCACTGAAACATGCAACCTGCAGAAGTAAGAGAAGGCTGAAGAAAAATGAAGGCAAGAGCTTGAATGTTGTTCTAAAAATTATTTTTTCTGAGGCCTGTGTCTTCACAGGTGTGCATGCAGACTGTGAACTTGGCCCCAAAGTGCTGGGGTCAAATGCTGTTTGCTTCCTCTTCTGGAGGCTCTGTGTGAAGAGCTGGGGTAGTGGAAAAGTCAAAGAGGAGAAGATGCAGAGCAGTAATATACTTGTACAGCTGCTTGAAATGGCAACTTCAAGGCTAACTTTCTTGACTATTGTGCAAACTGCATACTATGAAAATACTTATGCATCAATAAAGTCAATCCTGTACTGCACTTTGGGATGGAAGGGAGAATAATGCTGCCTACATGTGCACAAATGATAGGTGCTAATTTAGCTGCTCCCCCTAAAGCATTGGAGCTGTCATAGCTCCTTCAACTGCTGTTTCAGTGTCTGCAGAGGTAAAGAACAAAACAGACTGAGGAGTTTTATTATTATGAACACTGAAGAAAGGTTGGTGCCTTTAGACTAAGAATGGCAAGTGAAGATTATTAGTTTTTACAACAGAGAAATGAGTTGGCATAAACTGACACAAAATGTAAATGGGATGGGAAAGCAAGGGTAAAGGAAGAGAAGAAGAATGGTGAAGGCTGAATCTTGAAGATGTTATATTAAGTGTGCTTAATAATATTCAGTTTGGGAAAATGATCCTTTTCCTGGTCTTCCCTTTCATCAAGGTGAGGGTTTCTCTGCATTTTGTTTGTGGAGATGTAATTTATTGTGACTATAGGATGTATTAGTTGCACAGAAGCATTTTTCCTGGGCAGACACTTGAAGGTCTAGAACTTGTTCTCTACCTACTTTCAAAATTAAGCAGTGCCTCTGCAGAGAACAGTTTTCAGATAATAGCTGTTCTGTGTAGACCCTTGTCAGCTTGCATCACACAACTGCTGAGGGCTAATGCTCTGCAGAAGAGCACCCATTTAACTAACCCTCGCTCTTAGATAAGGGTTTATGTGTATGATCATCATTGCTCTTATACTAGAAAAATATCCGTCTGCCAAAACACCGAAACTTGAACAACATTGCCTCTTTATAATGAAATAAGCCAGCAATTTTTCAGGAAAAGTTCTTTAAAGGAAGGTGCTAGGTGTGTGCATATATATACACTTATTATTTTCTTGAAAGAGTATCTAAAATTCAGCGTGTAAGTTCTCTTTGAGGCAGGCTAGAGAAGGGAAAGATGGGGTAAGGAGCTCTTGGAGTACTTCACAACTATCTTCCAAGAATTTATTTTTAAAAGTACACACAAAAATTGTTGAAAGTATCCCCATTACACCTGAGAATAACCATTTAACTATCACAACTATTTATATGAAGGACAGAGGAAAATACTATCAGAAATATAGCCCTAATCTAAACTTTTTCTTGGGGCAGTAGCTCTCTTGAGCTTCTTCCAGAATACACGCAGGGCTATGCTGTAATGGCATTTGTTATGGCTGGCAGTTTTTCAGGTTTGGATATATTCAGCTCTTCTTATCGCTACTCCCATGCCAACAGCTAGAAACAGCCTGACTTTTTTCTTTGTTTTTATTCCTTGGGACCAACAACTGAAGTCAATGGGTGACTGTCTCTAAACCAAGAGACTTTCCCTGAGAAACCCACAATATAGGCTTGGACTTTAATAGCAGCATGAGTTATAACTTTGAGGATGGTGCTAGGATGGCAGAGAAGAAGGCTGGAAAAAATCACAGCCCCCCAAAAACAATTCCAAAGCAGTTTGGAAGGCTTAGCAACTGAAAGCACCTCTCCGTGGAGCTGGGTTTAATGCTAAAATTTCCCTATCAAATCCCTTTACAGTTTAAGGCTAGGACCAAATTTCTTAATAGTCTAGCAGTTCTTCAGGATGGCTATAGCAAATAAAGTTTTAAGAATGTGCAGGTAGCCTTGGTGGCTGTCTAGGCATCTCCACACAGATGTTCTCTGAACATATGTAAAAATGGACCTCTACTCTGGATAAAATTGACAAAAGTGGAGGGGAGAAAGCAAGATCCTGAAGCTTGAAATAATGGCCCAAAAAAAAAAAAACCTGAGGTGTTTTGCAGATGTATGATGAGTAAGGTACAACATAACAGAAAAAGTATATAGTAGGTTTTCAAAATAGTTTGTCTTCTAGTAGTTTACGTGTCTGTTTTTCCAGATGACTCTTAAGATAAACACTCCAAGATTCTTGTTCTTTGGATTGGCTCTTGCACGTGTATCACACTATAATTATCCTGTTCTCTGAAGAAAATCAATCTAAAACTTAATGCTAGAGCTGGATTTCATGTTCTATGTTTAAAAAAAAAAAGGGCGGGGGAGGCCTAGGAAAAAAAAAAGACTGTGAAGACTGTCATGATGCAAGGATGCCATCCTTATAGTTTGGGAAGGAATTATGCAGTCACCAGGATATCTCATTAGATCCATGTGAGAACCTGAGATCATCTGACTCTTGCATTAAAAAAATCTGGAGATTTCTGTTAGATAGTTTTTAACAAACTCATAGGTATTTCAGGGTACTTTAGAAAACTGTACTAGTTTTCAAAGATTCTTAGGAAAATGGAGCAGATGCGGTTGGCATAAATACCTTCTTTTCAACATGACAAATTTGCAGACAAATTTGGTGCCTCAGGGATAAGCTCTCCTCACGAGGCACATCACAAGCCTGAACATAATGTAACCGAGGGGTTAAAAATGGCAGTGCTCAACTGTGTTATTAAAAGTCTTTTGGTACTTTCATCCTTCTCCTTTTTTTTCTTCTCTTGCTGTGCTTAGTTAGGATAAGAGATAACTACCCACTCATGTGGTGATAGCAGAGACTTCTAAACTGTTTGAAAGCTTAACTTTAGAAGTAATGAATCATATACCTGAAATAGATTCAGGCCAATATCTCATTGTGGATTTCTTTTTCTTTTTTAATGAGTATTATGATCTCTTTTCCCTTTGCTCACATTTTGGTGGTTATCCCTAGGAAATAAAAGTGCTAATTGTAGAATATGGCATCACTGAGACTTTGTTCTTTGCTTTGTGCTGCAGGCGCCACTGGAGAATTATAGCCCCATTAATATCCATTATTCAGCTTGATTTCCTGGACTTCTGGATTGAAAGAAGTGTAATTGTCATGGCCAGTTGATGGCATATAAAGAACTCTTATTAAGCAGAGTCAGATATAGGTGAGAGGGAGCTCACCTTAATGCTGGAGTAGGAGAAACAGAAGCTGAATTGTTCCTGTGCAGGCAAAGAGGGACTTCTACATGCCACTTTTCCATGGATTTAGAGGGTCTGCTGATAATACTTGCAGCTACTCTAGCCAACTCGGTGTCTTTTCCTTCCTAGAAATGCTGTTGCAGTGAAGTATGTGCAATTCCTTGTGATCTGGCTTTGCCTTGGCACAACATGGGTCTGTCTGCGTTGCTGTTTCCCAGGTTTGAGCTCGGAACAGGGCAGCTTGCTGTGGAATGCCGCAGTTATGTGCCAACCTGGAGGCACAGGGCCAAGCGAGGAGGCCATGGAAAGGGGAGCTTTTTCTCTGACTCCAAATGAGTGCAGAGACCTATCCACCTGACATAGGAGCTGCTGGGGAAATGAAGGGGTCTAAACCTCTTTTGCATTTGGAGCAAGGAGCAGAGAGTGGGAATCTAAACTATCCAAGAACTCATTGATATAAAGTACTTTAAGGATCTCATATAAGCGAGCCCGAGGTTATGGAAGTGACTTATTCCTCATAGGGAATGTGGAAGTCGTTCAAAAGCCCCCCCTGCCCCCACAGGCTCTATTACTACTATAATTCATCTTCTGCTTCTTCCTCTAGTAGGTGATGTTGCTGTCAGGCACTGCTGATACTTCTGTCTCACACAAAGGAAACTATGCAGTTAATTGAGGTCTAAGTTTTCATGAATAATAATAATAAAAATCCTTCAATTTCTTACATCTTTCACTTTCTTCCCAGACAAGGGTACAGCTGATGACAGAAGCAGTCACTTTCCTCTGTGTGTAGTGCTACCCTGGCACCATTAAGCAAACTAGCACTTTGATATCTCAGATCAAAGAAACTCAGAGCTGTAAAGAAGTGTCCAGGCTCAATCTCCTGTTTTCATGGAAACAAAGAGCTCTGTGCTCCTACCAAACTGAATCATTTTTTAATCTCCTTCCTCTGTCCCCTCTCTTCCTTTCACTCCTTCACTCTTTGTCGTCTAAGTGAGTGTCTGCTTGCCCATCCTTTGGGCAAATGTGTCACGCTTTAGAACAGAATTCTAACATTGAAATTTCTGCCATTAAAATTCATCAGATTTTCACTCCTTCAATGATGGCTGCAGGGAAGAGAGCAACATTCTCAGGTTGAAGTTGAAACATGGCACAAACAAATAGGCTTCTGTTGCAAGGAAAGAGAGTAGGTCTGTTACCTAGGACATGTTATGTAGAAGCAGCCTGGACACAAACAGCTCTT